GGTACAAGTATTTGAACTATTTCTTTGGTAAAATTATTTCAAAGACTACTTCATGATCAGATTGACTTATGTTCTGATTTCATTAAGACAGTAAAACGAGGCCCTGTCCTTGAATGCAAAGCCCTCAGTAAAACGTCTTTTATGTCTGTGATATTGTTAGATTAGATTGTGTTTTTCTTAGTGTAAATATAAATTTGATATTTACTTTGTACCATGACGAGTAGATTTTAAAGTGTTGTGTCAAATGTTGCATTTTGTAATGGGGGCACAATTTGGGCAACTCAGGCCCACAAGTTTGTTTCTTAATAAACTTGAAACTTGGCTAACCCTCACAATCAGAATAGTTGATACAGCAGTAACAAAAACATTCTAACTGGAAGCAATTTCTCTTGCTTCAAAGTCTGTCTGCATAAAATTCAAAATATCACAAGGAACCCATTATAATTTCAAAGCTCAAAATACTCACCTACAACCTGCAATATGCAGAAAGTTTTCACAGGTGAAAATTATTAGGCAACAAAAATTTCAGGCATGGTTTTATGAATAATTCAATCCTAAAAACTAACAGTGTACTCAAGCTTGTGTGGTAGTCAGGTAGGAAAAATGGCTAGCCTGGAGTAACTGCAGAAAGTTTGTAAAAAATTGCAAGCAAAATTTCTCACAACTCGTAATATTGCAAGTAACGGAAAAAACTATTTGCTTGTTTCCATCATACACATATGTACAAAACAACTTGTCTTTCTTTTCTTTGTTTTGCATCTCAAGTTAAGGCCACACCAATTTAATTTCTTGGTTAACGGATTCGCCGCTTCATTTTTTTCTGATTTGCAAATAAAAATAAAAATTCAGAATCAACTGGAAAATGCTCATATTTTGCCCTGAACAGTTGAAAGCAGTCCTTTTCATACTTCTTGTTAAAGTCATTCCATCTTTCAATGCAGTGGTATCATTAAATTTTTTCGCCCGCCCGCTCCATTATTTTTGTAGAAAAATCCGTTAACCAAGAAATTAAATTGGTGTGGCCTAATGCTACTGCACAAATCATTGTCATGGACAGGATTTCCTATGACTCCCAACCTGCAACCAGCATTTTATGTTGCCATCCCCAATGGTCAATGTAATAACTTAGAAAACATAGGACCCAACAACTGAGATAAAACAATTCAGATAAAACATTCAGGTCAAAAACCTCAACCACAGACCCTAAACCAATATCTGACCATATAATCCAAGGACACTGGTATACACACAATGTTATCACTGGTATCCGATGGACACATTATTTTCATATTCGGGCTAAAATAAGACATGAATATCACGGTCGTTCTGGTTCAACTGCCTTAGAAGGGGCTATAAAAAAGGTGTGACCGATCAATTAGTATTTACCATTGCAGACAATGGAAACCAACAATTTCTGAAATTATTTTCCCACCAAGCAAAAGAAATGGTGCCATATTTACAGATAGATCTAGGACTTCATACTATAAATCGTGAAACTTTCACAGTGGTTTTATTTCATAGTAGGTAGGAACGGGAGGTTTTCAAAGTGTTTTAATTCAGGGTTTAGACAATTTTGTGATACAGTAGTCATGTAAGGACGGCATATTCATAGTGTCATGAAGTGGGATAGCCTGAGTATCAGCCTTTTTAGTTTTCGTCCGCTCCCCAAGATCCGCTACTGGCCAAAAGCGGATCGTGGGGAGCTGACGAAAGCTAAATAGGCTGACACTCAGGCTAGAGGTAGTGAGGTGACCATGAAAATTATACCACTGCAAAACTTAAACGATTAGTACTAGAGACGGAAGGTTTTGAGAGGCTAGTTTGCTGGAATGTCGTAAAATATCAGTAATTGACTCTGACGTACCTTTGCCAAACACAAGATCAGTATTTAACAAGAATCAATGTTTTTTTTTTTATGGAAACTAAAGCAGAGAAGTAGAGAAGTCACGGACACCAATGTCTTACACAATAACATGGAACACTCGAACAGTACAATTTCACAATCCTAATTCTTTTGTCATTAACTGAGCTAGAAGTGCCAAGGTGAGCAGAAAAAGAACTCTCACCTCAGTTTTACGTACAGACGAACAAATGCCGCAAGTGCAGCACTGTGGATGCTTGTACACATTTTTGTCCAGTGATATATCAGTGTTTATATCCATAAGAATATTTAAAGATAACATTCCACACTACTTCCTTTGTGCATATGTTACAAAAATGGTATACAGATATTTCATAAAGTAAAGGTAAAGGTAAGGTAAAGGTACATAACAACTTATTACCATATTATTGTTTAATACACAGTGATAGCAAAAATATATGATACTGTAACAATAAATGAAATGTAATCATCCAAATTCTTACACTGTTTCGATTGTTTTGCATGGAACAAACATTATATAACTTAATATTAACATTTATACGGGCAGCAACCTTGTAGATCTAAAATTATCAACTATACTATAACGCTACAAATATTAATATACAATTGTACTGAAAATGCAGGTTGAATATTTTTCCCTTGCTAAAATGAAATCAATATCTACATATAACAGTGTGGTAGATTCCTGAAAAATGCATTCTTCGCAGTACAATAAAAAAATTTAAGGATTATGCTGTTTTAATACGATATGTAGTCTTTCCTTTGTTCTGGAAGTGTGCAAAAACGTTGCGAAGCATCTAGCCAGCCTGGCCAGTAGGCTATTTGCACTTATACAGGATTTGGGAGAGGCCCAACCAGTCATGCAAATTACTCAGGGACCATCCATTCATTCTCACGGGCCAGGCATCAAATTTCGCTCCAAGAACTCGTGTAGACACAAGAAATGTTCCTACTTTCTAAGAAATTTATGTGATCTCTCAAAAACACAAAATTAGTGTATTTTTGTTGATGGTTTTGGAGAAATTGTTAGGCAGGGGAGGGTTAGGAGACCCTAATGCGAGCAGAAATGGTCGTTCCCCTGTTGTTTACAGCAGGGAACAGGCGGCCCTTGTGATGACCCCGCCACAGTCTGATAATTTTCGCGCTCACCAACATTTTTTCGCGGCAAAAAAAGAGCTCAGCGTGCCGCTTAGAAAAGCCCCACCCCATACTAACCGCGCCCACTATCTATAGTTTGTGCCTCAAAATCACCCGAATTTTACAACCAAATGCTGGGCGATATTTTTGAGCACGTAGCCGGCTCGCTAATAATTTATTTTTCCTGCTACCGTGGCGCGTTTTGGTCGGGGGAAAAAGGCAACGAGACATATTTGAATACACACTACACCGTCTATCCTTACACAGGAACGAAATAAAATCCGTCTGATTTTGCACGATATTTTCTCTCAGAATACACCCGCAAATCGGCCACGATTCTGACCGATTCCCACACAGATCAAGCTGGAAAGCTTTGTGGCTTAATTACTGAAACAAAGGCGGGCTACATCGAGCTTTCTAGAACCACCGCCGAAACAACTCCCCCAGATAAAACAGAAAATCAGACGATATTTTGTAGAAAAATCGCCGACACGAAACCCAAGCAAACCTTCTGTGAGGATTTTGGTTAAGATCTAACGCTAGGACACTGTGGGTTGGGAAAATGGGCCGTGCCGGCTTGATGGGCGGCTTGCTGAGCTCGGAAAGCGGCGAGCGGGACAAAAATGGAGCCGCGCTTTCTGCCTAACATTCCGACTGCAAGCCAGGCACAACTCAAAAGCGCCATCTTGGATCTCTCGCCAGACGTGACCCGCCGAAAATCGCGCCGAATTTTCCTTCCAAGACGGCGAGGACTACGCGTCAAGATCTGCGAAAAAGACCCTGGATACGCCAAGATTTGGTACTCACCGAAGGTTTTCAGTTTGATGACCCTTCCGAGCGAAAAATCGGTGGAAGTCCACTGGCGGGAAACACCGCGTCGTTCAAACCCACAGATTTGGCGCTATTTTGGTGACGTCACGCGCGAGCTAGACATGACGTAAGTCAGTGGCGCCCTCTAGCAGAAAGGATGTGACTTGCAGCCTCTGAAAAACACCAGCGTGTCGCTCTTTCACAGCGGCATTTTGACAGCATGGTAAAGCAGTTAATCCTTCAAGCAGTTCAAATAATCGACCTTGATCTGCCTGCTATTCTATACGTATGCTGCATCGAACATGCCCGTGTAATTTTTAACTGGTTCAAAACCAGTAACTCTGCAGTGGAATTTTCGAAGTGAAAGCTCATCATTTTCCAGCCCACTCCATTTGAAGAACTTCAAGAACTAGAGATCTAGAATATAAAGGGTTTACAGAATGTATAATGCCCATTTACTACAGCCCAAACGTCTCCAAGAAGATATGGCTTTTTTTTTGCTTCGGCCATAAACTTGCGATACTGAAAACTCAAAAGAACTTCATTATTAATTCCTAGCTCCTGAACTAAAGTAGTTTCCGAAGAAATAAACCAATTCAACACATGAGGCATAGAAATTGCATAGGTTCTTAATTTATTCTTCCCATCAGAATGTGTGATCGCTCTTTTGTTCACCAAAGTTTGCAGACAAAAACGTTCATTGAGTATAATATAATAAGGCACTATTGGCAGCCGTTTGAATAATTCACAAGAACAAATAATGGATACGTATAAGGTTCTGACGCCCTTAACCTTTTAAGTCGACAATATGTAAAGTATTTTTCCCCATACAAAGTTGATGACAATTCAGGCTATTACAGTATTTGTTATCCCCATAGCATGCATATCCCTTTCCGAATATTTCAGTGCCAGTGCTGAACATGCAAGCATCTAACCTTATTGGTATGAAAAGAAGGACTGGAAGCTCATATAGACATACTCGTAGAAATAGAGCGGTATTAGAATGGAACTCTAGATTTATGAACTTATTAACTGTTTGTTGACGTTACTTCTGCATACGTAAATACGAGAGGAACACGGAGTGAGAGGCTATCATAAAATCGCACAAAACGTTAATAACAGGCAAGAATCAAAGTTTGCTTTCTGTAGTATGAAATTCAAGGTTTTCGGGTCAAGTAGAGGAGAGTTTTTCCTCGAACTGCCGAGCGCGCATCCTGAGCGTGCCGAGGCTGGCCAGCCGTCGGTACTCCCCGAGCATTCCTGCCGGGAAGCTCTTCTCCCCGCTCCTCTGGCGTTTCCCCGCGTGCTTGTGGTGGGACGAACCTTCCGTGGGGACTAAAAACAAATCAAATCAAACTTTATTGCACAACAGTCGTCACAGGTACAATGTATGGCAAGTTTTTCAGAGATGCAACATATCAAACTGATATCTACTCTAGCCTCCATAGCATGCCAAAAACTGGGGGTTTAATTTTGGGGGTCTTCAGGGTCTTTGGGAGCTTTTGTGTGCTATTTTGTGATTGCATATAGACAACATAGCCGGCCTGGTTGAATTGCCCATGTTTTTTTGAACTGGGCTAATCAGAAAACAGCCGAAGATCACCAAATCCCCAGTTCTATAAGCCTGCTACAGAGGCTATATCTACTCTAATATCTATCTTATGATGATATCTATCTAATGCTTTAGGTAGGTATCCTTCTGTACTGATGCTAATAAGATTTCTATATGCATGTATCAATCCTTTATTTCTATATTCCAACATTTCATGACCAAATGATGGCGACAGCACACTCAAGTTATATTTTATGCTGCCAACAACACAGAGTACAAATACAGGACAGGGCAATACTAATTAAGTGAGGAAAGTCGTGTTAAGTTCCTTTCCCAAGGGCATCAATACTTGTCTAATACTACACTACTTTATAAACGTGATATATACAAGCTAAGGAACGTGGCTTACATGGTAATATATCTAAATGGATTTATAAAACTAACTACATAATATATACTACGCTATTTTGTGTGTCTGATTCAATATAGTATCAGATGCAGAATACCTGAAACGTCTGCAGAAGGGCCGTCGCCATGGAGACCAGTGGGCAGGAGACCCATCTGTGACGTCACGCCCTCCTGTCGCGTCACGTGTGACGTCACGGAAGCCCCCGGAAGTGACGTCTGGGAGGACTGGACGAAGGTGAGGTGTGACGTCATGAGGGATGCCGGGAGGAGAAAGGGGTGGTGGTGGGAGGCGGCGGTCCAGCCGGATGTGACGTTGTTGGTCTCGGGAAGACCCCCCCTGAGGAGCCTCCGAGCGCTGCAGGAGGAAGACCCGGCGGCCAAGGAACAGTACAGCCCTGAAAAAACATATCAATTAATCAATCAATCAATCAATCAATCAATCAACCAATCAACCAACCAAACTTTATTGTACAGCAATTGCAACAGGTACAATGTATGGCAAGTTCTTAAGAAGTACTAAATATATCCAACGTATATCTACACTATTGCTTACAACAATGCTATTGGACAAGAACAAGTTGTACTCGTAGTTAGAACTGTAGCATCGATGGCTTGTCAAACATTTTGACATTCTATTAGGTACTTAATGATGATCATCAAGTGAGCAAAGTACCTTGCACAAAATTGAGAAGACAGTGAAGTAATTTGACGATACATGTCCACATAGATGTAACGTTATCACTTTTGACAGCAGCAAAAGTCGTCTTACAATCCTTTGACTTTTGCTCTAGTTTGTGGAACCAAATGAAAATCACATTAAGAGCTAATATATAAAACTTATGCGCACACTGTAATATCGCACATAAAACGGCTTCCTATAAACGGATCCAGGTCTATACGTTTTCTGTTGACAAGAACAAAACAAAGAGAAGTTGAGAGGATACAACGAAAACTTACTGTTCAGCTGGTCAGCAGAGCGCCGGGGTGTTTCGCGCTTGCGCCACTTGGCCCGTCTGTTCTGGAACCAAACCTGTCAAATAGACCGATCCTGAGTGTCCATCACAATTCAACCAAAGAGAGATTGACAGTTATCTTTTCAACCAATAAGAGGGTGGCAATTAGCGGTTAAACCAATTAAAGACTGGCTACATGATATCGGTCTTTTATTCCGAAATAGGGGAGGTAATTTTCATTATAGTCCCTCATGCCAAGCATCCATCATATTTGATTAGCCCAATCAGCTCCAATTTACCATAATTGTGTTATTAGCCCTGAGCTGAATATCCCGTATTTAATGTCTACGTGATTGTTTTACACGACGAGTTTGGCTCAACTTCTTGCTTTCGAAAGACCTAATCAATGAGGATAAAATGTACGTACTGAAAATACGTTAAAAAGCACGTAAAAATATACAACAGTTAATCAAAAAACGATTACAGAGAAAATAGTTTAACCAGAAATCATCAAAACTTTAGTATCCTTTATATGGCGACAGTTTCTCCTGTTACAGACTATTTACATGGGTAAGTTATCGACTAATTAGTTAACTACAGCATAACTCATTAACCAACCTGAACCCTGGCCTCGCTCAAGTTCAGCCTCATGGCCAGCTCCTCTCGCGCAAAGACGTCTGGGTAGGGAGCTCGTTCGAAGGCCTTCTCCAGTTCTTCTAGCTGGTAGGTCGAAAACGTCGTTCTGTGATGAGAAAATAAAAAAAATCGTAGATTTCAAACTTCCGTATGTACTTATAGGTTTGATTTTCTTCAAACAGTTTCAGGGTAGCAAAACTGGACTTTTAAAGTCAATTTTTTGGTATGATTGTTTTAATGTAGTAAGTTGAATCAACCATACATAACTGGGAGGCAAAATATTATGCATGTAGCTGACGGAAAAGGGTTGCTCAGCTCGCCCTATACTACTCACCTGTACCTGGTCTTTTTCTTCTTCCCTCCCCTCTCGTCTTTATCGCCGGTGTCTTCCTCTTCGTTTGTCTGCGGTGACCTTGACTTGTGCTTAAGTTCAGCTTTAGAGGTCACGACGGTGGGTGGTGGGCTCTTGTTGCTCACGGTTTCTTCGATTAAAACGACTGTGGTGTTAGAATAGAACGTAAGTTATTGAAAAGGATAATTAACTGCAACCACTTGTAATCGTCGTTATATGTCACATCTCTTCTTCTAGTGTACGTGTAAGCAACATTACCACATCTATATATATACTATAGCCTGACAAAACTTGAATCGTGCTTCCAGCGACCATGCGTGTATCCAGTATACTTTATCCAGAACCATGCTCAAACAAGATTCTGTATACTACTAGTGCATGCATTTCCAGAATTTACGGTGCCAAATACTAGTAGAGTTAGACACGCAGAGACTATCCAGAACAGTGCCTGATCCTAATCCAAACCCATTCAAGCATAAGGCCACACCAATTTAATTTGTTGGTTCTCGGATTCGCCTCTTCATTTTTTTCTGATTTGCAAAAAAAAAAAGCTTCTGGTTCTGAATCAACTCAAAAATGCTCATATTTTGCCCCCAACAGTTGAGGAAATTCCTTTTCTTCCTAGTTGTTTCAGTTTTTCCATCTATCAATGCAGTGGTTTGATTAAAAGTTCAAAATTTGATTTAATTCGTTAAATTTTTACTTTAAATTTTAACCCAGCCTTTTTCGTTGACTTCATTGCTCATATTGTAGAACTTGGGGCTATAATAGGATGCCTAGACCTGTTTTTATTTTTTATTTTTTTTCGCCCTGTCGCTTCATATTTTTTCTGAAAAAATCCGAGAACCAACGAATTACATTTTAACCCAGCCTTTTTCGTTGACTTCATGGCTCATATTGTAGCACTTGGGGCTATAATAGGATGCCTAGACCTGTTTTTATTTTTTATTTTTTTTCGCCCTGTCGCTTCATATTTTTTCTAAAAAAATCCGAGAACCAACGAATTAAATTGGTGTGGCCTAAAGCTAGACATGCACAGTTCTGGATACGGTAGTCACTCACTGACTAGGCCCCTAGTTAGACTGTTGGGAGAGATTATATAATCATTGGCTAAATCTATACTATCTCTATAATATTTCCCTTTTTTTTGTTCCACGGCATTTGTGACATCAGGTAACAAGTAAAACGCTAAACTGTAACAAAACGTTATATCATGAGTGAAATGGCTATATAATTATTCCATTTCACTTCACATTAAGCCCGGTTTCCCACGTCATTATAACATTATAACACCTATCCCTAAATCGTTAATGATGCGAACAGTAATAATAGGCATATAGCCTTTCTCAGGATAGCCCTATCAGGATAAATACAGACATACAAAGAAATACAAAAGGACAAGTAACGTACATTGGCCGGAACTCTAATACTAGTCAACATGGATTCTAAAGTTACTTTTCTACATAGGTTAAACCTCGTCTCGTCTCCGAATGATGTTTAAATGGATCTGTTAGATATCTGTATCTGTATAGCCGGTATAACTGCCCTTCGGCGTAACACACCAGCTTCGCGGGCACGTGGCGCGGCGGCAGCTGGCTATATTACACCGAACGTCTTGTTACACCTAACCCTTGAACATCTAACTCTGAACATTGTTTAAAGCTAGTGATAATGCACCTACTGTACTTGTTGACAGCGATATACATGTATGTTAGATACCGGTTCTATTGGGAACCTCAAAACGTCTCACCGTCCTGTTCCCTGTCCTCCCGTGCAGGTGTGGGTTCTCTGACGTCATGCTCTCCCCAGCCGAGGATGTCCCTGACGGAAAACCCCGTCAGACGCCGTGACATCGAGGCGGCAGGGTTAGAAGTCATCCCCGCCGACGTTTCCAGACTTCTCTCCGTCAAAATCGTTCCCCCAAAAGTCGTCAAAGATACAGCGGTGCTTCCTTCCTCCTGAGGTTGAAAGCGTCTCCGTCGCAGATTTGATAAAGATATGAAAGTCTACGGGATTCTTGACAAGATAGAGCTTCGGTAACTTTGCTCCAAACTGAAAGAGAGAATTTTTACAAACTCTCCTCCGGCATAAAAAGCTAGGCAGGCCCAGAGTGCCGTTTGCGATGTCCGTGCTGAATGTAGCAGATATTTTGTCGACGGTTGATTCGATGAAAGCGACGGTCCATCCACTACAGAAGACCACGAAGTTACAACAGAAAACGGCAAAGTCAGGACCAGTTACGACTGCTTCTCACCCCTCTATATACACGACTAGACCTCTACCCAGCTCGTTATAGCCCCGTACATTATTCTCTCAGAGGCGTAACGTCACTAACAATGCCCGGAGATGGGGGTAAATTGGTCCCCATTATAAGGATTGACCCTTTGGGCAGCTGATCTAACTGGTGATAATTGCTCAATTATATCTAGGAGAAGATAAATAACAGTTAGACAGACGTCTGAATTGAAAATTGAAGCCGAACCTATGTATTATACTAGTTTTAGAACCCATGTTTTAGATTAGTATAAGAGGTCCTGTCAATAGATGTACGTTACTACTACTTTTGTATTTTTTTTAAAGTCTGTAGGACATGGATGTACAATAAAGGCTATCTGTTGATAATATTAGATAAAAGAAGTCAGATTATTAACTCGTGGTAGCAATCAACTATATTTCAGCATAGCTTTCATGGAAACTTTACCGTAATATGAAAGAAATTCGAAAGTGTTGAAACTTGCCATGGTAACGTCATCTAAAACATAACTCATGTTAAGTGGCTTTAATTCGATGCAGAACTGGACAACTTTAATAGAAATTGTTTCACTCTTTTGTTTCATACACCAAGGACATTATACACAGAATATAATGTCCTTGCTTACTCATAGCTTAAATGGCTTGAAGAAATTTCTTTTACTAGAATTATCATCTGTAGTTAGTATCATCTATGGCTAGCAATTACCTAAGAGCAAGCGATGTTGACCATGTTGGCACAGGATATTTCCCGACCACCATTTGTGATAAACGGTCTCGTTATCTCATCAGGATCAATTTCAGCCATTTCCTACTCCTAATGCTTCACGCATGTATTACGTAAGTATGTATGTGTTATTAACTTAGGGTTATTTCAAGGGGACAAATTGAGTGGATGGTGGCAGAGTCCAAACGCGACGGTCCCTAGGGGTAGTCATTTGCGAACAGAAAGACAGACAGGCAAACATATTTAAAGAACTTCAAGGGATAGAGGAAGAAAGAGATCAACGCACAGAGATACACAGAGAGAGAGAGAGACAGACAGACAGACAGACAGAGACAGAGAAAGGGCTCCTCATGCACACACTGAAACTCCATCTACATACGGCTGTATAATATGTATGTCGGCCATGGACATTGTTTTAACGTTGTGCACCCCTCATATACACATGTAGATGCATGTGCAGAGAAGCAAACCTACACATTTCAACATTGTATACTTCTAGTTTTCTTTTGTTACAAAATGTCGTTTTTGTCAGCGAGAAAACGTCACGACTTTACCTCCAACCCAACATCTGCTTGGAGATCAAAATTCAGGTGTCAACAGGATGATTATGTCATCTGTCATCATTTCCTGGCTCCTGGCCGAACACCAAAACGGTGAGGAATTATCTCCCAGTTTCCCCGGGCAACAATCCCGTCCAATTTGGCATTACAGCCGGCCGCGCAGTGACCCGTACTGGGCATTAATCTTGGCGGGGCGCTTCATTCAGCGGGCAATTTCTGTCACAATTATTGTCAGAGTAAAAAAAGAAAAGCAAACAGTAAACCGCAAAGGGGACTACTTATTAGAACAAAGTATAGGTGCACGGTACCTCGTCCTGCTTTATTTCCAACAAAACGTTAGCCGTTTGCAGATAGATAAGCCAAACTGACAGCAAATATAGCTCGGAATATTGAACCCTACATAGATTTCAAGGCAACCCATTTGTACTTCTTTGAATGGGGATACAAAGATATAGAGGGGCGTATTTACGCTTAGTTATCATCACCGCAACCACAAGGGTCATTCCGACGTGTGACAGTTTTTAGTGAGCTTATGGAGACAGCGTTTTCAACTCAAAACATACAAAAGAGATATCATATCACAAAGGAACATATCCATCGTGACTGTGAACGTTGAAAAAATACAGGTAATATTGCTATTTAAACGAATGTCTTTATCTAATTATGATTGATAGAATCCATTCATAAATCGTACCTTTATGTACATGTATCTGCCAATGGTTTGCGACACTCCATATCAACTTTTTTTATACACATGCATGATTCTCAGCCAACTGATCGTTTATTTTATTATCTACCAGCCCTGTCTACCCGTATTTGATGTAGTATGAAAGGATGTAAGGAGTGTCCATGACCCTTGTGTCTTCAATTTGTCGGCGAGCCAGCTGCACAAACTGATCCCGCCTACAGCAGTCTGTATACGGTTATTAACCCGAACAATGGGCAAAACCAACAACCCATCACTGCCCTATTGTCCCGCACAGATGTGGCGTGATACTGTATTTCTTTTCTCTCACACAAAAGCAGTTTAATAGCCTCCACCAGGCCTTTCTACGGGAATACGGATCGTAGAATTCGGCAAAAAATAGAGTAAAATTGGCCAGGGCAGTCCGGCCGCGGGGAGGTAGTTTCTTTCCCTCCGAAGGCGCGACCTGTCAAACCTACAAGGCGGCCAAACTCCCCTGGCAAATATTCTCCTATATATATATCCAGCGTAGTTAGTCCGGTAGAGACTATACAAAAGCAGTACGGAGTTGGCTTGAGTGCAAGGACTAGCCTAAAGGGGACTCGACATAAATCGTTGTTTATAGCGCGTGTACAATCGTGGGTGACGCGTTACTCACAGCTAACCGCTGATGACGACTTGTGGCCATTCACGATGCTCAACAGGTGGAAAATGCGTCCCGACTGGGTTTTACAAGCGTCCGACTATAAGCAATTTGTCCATCCGTGTTTCAACATTGTCAGGTTGATGATCAAATTAGAGTAAGGCGTTAGGTTTCTTTGTTGTTTGTATGTGTAGCGAGAGTAAGGCCATGTTGATTTGATTATATGGATGACATCCTCCGGGAGCCCCAAAACTGATGCGCGCGTGCGAATAAAAAAAGTTTTGCAAAAAAAAGTTGTTTTCATTATGAAATCTACGTGGTCATGAGGGTTGAACAAATGGGACAGAATATGGTTTGGCGAATAATCTAATCTTCAAGTTCATTTCCTTACAATTTCGTCTTTTTTTGTTTGATTTTGGCATTCTACGACATTGGTATAGTTTTGACTTATTTTTTTGTAACTTACGGTATATTTTTGCTCATTTTACAACTGTTTTGTACGATTTACAGTATGGTTGAAAACTCTTTTTTTTTTGGAAACGGCCGAAAATTCATGCGCGCGCGGATATGTCATCCATATAATCAAATCAACATGGCCTAAGCGAGAATTAGGCTTCTGTAGTGTCTACAACCTACAGTGGGTGTCACTCAAACACAGACGGAAAATGTCCTGACTTTCCATGATGTACAAACTGACTAATAAACCGATTGACGTACAAACTACATGCATTAAGTAATTCAAATACCAGCTGAGAAAATAAAAGAACAAGAAATAGTTATGCCTTCAAGTAAAAGAGTTTTGGGGTGTTCAAGAACTCCATATGACGTTAACTATAGTAAAGTGGAACTTACTGCCACAAAGACCAGTAGGTGCACTAAACTAGACAAGGCTTGCAGTTAGATGTTCAAATGTTTTTATAGGTGTAACGTTAACTGGTCGTTCAGTGTATTGTAACCAGATTGCGTGCCTTAGACACATCTCCTTCATTGTCATGAAGTTGAAACACTACATCACAAACTCTTCATTCATTCAATCCATTTTTATTGTGACTAATTTCAGGTATAAATCATTTTCAAACGAGTGCTCATTTAGCTCTTCCTCTGCCTCCCCTCCCCTGGTTGAAACAGATGTTTCAGCCATGTGTAAGGGAGGGGGGGGGGTATACTCCCGATATTGTTGGTAGTCTACCAGGAGAGCTAGATGTACATGTAGTGGAGTGACTAGCCTCCGTAGCAGGCTTATTTTATACTGGAGGGTTGGTGGTCTTCGGCTGTTTTCTGATGCCCAGTCAAAAACAGGGGTTATTCAACCAGGCGGGCTATCTTGTTTATATGCAATCAGAACATAGCACATAAAAGATCCCAAAGACACTGAAGACCCCAAAACCCCCAGTTTTTGGCATGCTATGGAGGCTATGGAGTGACGCAGGTTTAGTTGCGGGACATGGTGTTGTCCATCCACTGGCGGAGGTCGGTGACGCGCGCGTACACGCCCGGCAGCGTGGTGTGACAACGGGAGCTTCCCCAGGACACAACTCCCACCAGGGTCCAGGCGCCGTCCTTCTGGCACACCAGCGGGCCGCCAGAGTCACCCTGGAGGGGCACACAAAAAAGAGAAAAACGTTAGAAACAAGATATTTAAGAATCAAATATTTCAAGGCTGTCTTAAATCCTTGTGGATTGTTGGTTTTGTTAAAACCTGCTTGAATTGTCCAGCATTAAAATGGGGTCTCGACTCGGAATCAAGAGGTCCCGGGTTCGAGTCCTGACATGCCACCAATCTTGTGCCATTGAGAAAGCACTTTACACGACTTTCCTCACTTCGCTCAGGTGAAAATAAGTATGATATTGTCCCCTGCGTTGGTGGCGGCATAAATATGGGTTGAAAATACTTGAGTGTATCCCCACCACGTCTTGTGATTACATGTTGGAATAAAAAAAAATATGTTGTCATGAAAGTTCATCTGTGTTGGTAGTTACATGTTTAAAGTTAAACCTTTTTGTCCTACATTGAACCGCGACGGGGGCCAACATCGTCTACAAGATACCTTTGACCCAGTGTTGACGTCACACTTCAAAGAAGCCACGTGACAAGCTTCACTGGGTCAGTCTACTGAGGAAGACCAGAGTGACTGGTCGAAAGCTCTAGGTGAGAGAATCTTTGTGTTGAACCAAATGTTTTAACTTTAAACAAAAAATATGTTGTTCTCACCATGCAGGAAGAAGACGTCCCCTCGGCCCCGGCGCAGATCATCCTGTCCGTGATGTAGCCGGGCCAGGCGTCCGAGCAGGCCGGCGTGCCCACCAGGGGCAGCTCAGCCTGCTGCAGCTGGTCAGGGGTGAACTGGCCTAAAGAAAAAAAAAGTAAGAGAATAGTTAAACTCTTTGTTGACCGTCTGGCTGCTCCGTCTGGTTACTTTATGATGCTAGGGTTGAATTGTCTTAAGATTTGGTATGTGGGTAGGCCTTGATTAAACCTCGAAATTACATGTATTAGATTTTTGGCCCCCTGCAATCTGCTGGCGGCTTGGTACTATGGTACTGCATGCAGTGGACAAGTCTATAAAGGAGGCTACCAAAAACATAGCCTTCTTGGCGAAGGTAACGATAACTGTACTTAGCCTCTACCAGCGGCTTCGGGAGGCGGCTGGAAAGAGTAGAAATTGGCCGATAGAGAGATAATATGCCGGGGGAATTGGTCCGCTAGAGAGTACAGTTTGCCGCACCAGTTTCTACTCTTTCCAGTCGCCTCCCGAAGCCTGATAGAGGAGGGGGACTGCATGCCCTTTTTCGTAAGGCGAAATCAGGTCTTTTTAGTCGTTGTTATCCGTAGGCAGCCTTCCCCAAAATCAACGTAATTCGTAATAGTACATTAGCCGCAAAGCGTAAGGTCGTAATCAGCTCTGAGACTTTAACGTAATCCGTAATCGGCGGCGAAAATTTTGCGTAATTCGTAATCACTACCCCCATGCAGGCCCTCAAAGAGAATTAACTCCACTCACTGGTGGAACGAAGCAGTCCCCAGCCAGACACCATGCAGCGCATTCCGGCAGGGAAGGACGCCTCGTCCCCGTACTCAGCCACGCACACGGGGTGGACGGTCTCACCCATAACGGCGGGGGTGGCCAGCTTCAGCAGGCAGATGTCGTAGTCGATGGTGTTGGAGTCGTACTGAGTGTGGCAGAACTTCCCGGCGATGCGCAGGCGCTGGATGGCCTCGGAGCCGCCGCCCTTGTCGTGTTCCCCCAGGATGACGTAATCGTCGGTGATGCTGCAGACGACAAGAAGGGATGTGAGATACAGATATAGTTTACAACTAGAGAAGTAACATTTGCAAAGCAAATGCATAATGTTTACCTTCGAACATGGTCTGCCCTGTTATTTTTTTACTCAAACACATTCACATACATGTACTACTAGTATATGGTGACAGGAGTAGAGCAGACCATGAAATTGCAACATTATGTAACCCAACACCAGTCACCATGGTGGCAGACGTCAACAAATCATGCCATTGGCCAGGTCAGAGGTTAGTGTTTGGAACGGAAGAGGAGGAAGAAACTGAGTAAAAACAATATGTTATGTAGATGTTCAAGGGTTAGGTATAACAAGTCGTTCGGTGTGATATAGTCAGCTACCGCCGCGCCACGTGCCCGCGAAGCTGGCGTGTTACGCTGAGGGTTGGTTATAGTAACTTATACCGGCTATACAGATACAGAGGCTGGTGTGTTACGAAGAAGGCTGGTTATACCGGCTATAGAGTTACAGGTACAGATACAGAATTCATGCTAGCCTGACAAGGGCTAAAGATAGAGTACAAGAGAAAGGGTTTCTGTACCTGGGATCACAGTGAGCCGCGGTGACGACCCACTCGGAGTTCAGAAGGGAACCGCCGCAGTAGTGAAAGCCTGAAGAAGTCTGCAGAAATGGTGAAGAAAACGAAGAGTTTGAATCAAGGCATTTTGTAGTACGTTGTTTGAAGACTATTATATTAAAATGACTTCGATTGGGGAGGTAAAGGCAGTGGAAGGAGAGGGATGGGCTCCACCTTGTGTCCTAGACACAGTAGATAACGACCCACTACCACAGTCCCTCCTCAAAAAAGGGTATGAGACTAACTTTCCCTTTTTTCCTTAAACTACCCGGTGGGGTATCGGTTTAGACAGACATGTGCAAAAGATCTTGTTGCCTTACCTGGAGAGACACCTGCCAGGGCCAGCTGTGCGGGTTGGCCTCTTGTCCGCCAACGATTCGCTCCGAAGCGAAGTCGTACACCAGCCGTTTCGTCATGAGCGGCGAGATGGCGGGCGTGCCGCAGGATTGGGCTGCATGCGGACAACATGGAGTAATACGTTATGGTGCTAGTCTCCACCAGACACTTTTGCAGGTTGAACAAATAGTAGAAATCGGGCTAAGAAGAATGTAGCTGGCCAGGGTAGTTAGTCGGCCATAGAGGGTCCAGTTTGCCTATTTATTCAGCCTGCAAAAGTGTCTTGTGGAGACTATAATACGTTCTGGTACGGTCACATTTGTCGTATGTACGAGTACATGTAATCTCCAAGCAGATTCTGTAGGGCAAGGAGAGTCTATATTGGCCTCCTGTATCCATTCGTGGGGCGGCAAGCGGTTAATACAGAAGGCCAATGGATGCGGCCCCCTTGTCCCACGGAATCTGCTTTGAGATTAGTCGTAGGCCGTTCTAAGATTTTGACATCATACACTTTTCAAGCAGGCTTTGACAGACCCAATCGCCGATAATGTAATCTCCAAGCAGGTTACAGTCTATTGCCTGGAAGAAATCTACTTCGAGATTACAGAATCTAAGACAGCCTTTTCAGCACCGAAACGGCTGAATTTTGCGGGACACATGCACGGCCATCGAAGGAATGCCGTGAAGTTTGCCAAAAAGTATATTAATATCACCTAAATACATAAACATCAGATAACTTGAAGAAAGAAAGAGATTCTAAAGAAAAAAATTACCCTTGGCGTAAGACACCAGAGAAAGGACACACAGAAGCCAGATCATCTTGCTTGGAGACTCACAACACCTTGTAGAATCGGCTTTCGGAGTGATGAAAGAACCTGGCATTGGCGCCGGTATTTATACAAAACGTGTGGCAGTAACCCAGAGAAAAGGACAGATGGTCGCGCTTTTGATGTGACGTGAAGATAGATTTATCAATTTATCATTTCCTGAGAGTTAACCGGAGTGTTTGCCTGTTAAACTTGTTATTTTCAAGAATAACAGCTTGATATATTGTATCACTAAATACTACTTAAGACCTTAGGTTAAGATGTTCAACTAATTTTACATGAGTATGTTGTGATGTTATGATGCTATGATGTTATGTTGTTACGTTACGTTACGTTACATTATGTTATGTTATATTTTGTTACGCTGTACCATAAAACTCATGGAGCATCCCAACCTGCAATTAAGCTGGTGTGTTACGTCGAGGGGCAGTTATACAAGCTATACAGATACAGAAGCTGGTGTGTTAAGCCAAGGGTTGGTTAAAACGTCTATACAGATATAGATACAGATATGGGTACTTAAGATAACAGTACAGTAGTGTAGGATGTATAAGGTCAAGGACGAAAAGCGTGTCTTAACGTGTAAAATGGTCACCAACTTTCAGTCGTATGAAGCATCTTCTAATGATCCACAGCCAAGACACACGCTCAGCATCTTTGGGACACATTAGATGAATGCAGATACTTTTATGAGCCCGAACCTTTACGCCAAGGACGCGGATAATATACGTCGTACGTACGATCGCAAACTGATGACACTCTTGCGATAGTCGTTTTCTGCTTGAAAATTGTACGACATTAAAACCGTGAGGACGGCCTAGCACGAACGTGGCCGTGCCCAAACACAAGTGAACGTGTCCTCAGGTGGCTGTGTGGTATGTTATTCAGTAATCTCCAAGCAGATCCTACGGTGGCAAGGCCCGAGGAGTGTCCATTAGCCAACGAATGGACACTCCTCTGGCCAATGGATACTAGTGCTGCCTTGCCACCTTAGGATCTGCTTGGAGATAAACTTTAAGCATCGTTAGAAGTACGGCCTACTTATAACTCGAGAGTTTTCAAGTCCAGAGCAAACATGTGGAGAGGTGGCCGTTATCAGCCAGTGCTTAGCTGATGGTGGTCATTTCCTTGCGAATGGAACATACGGAGAACTACTTATGCAATACTTATGAACCATCTCGAAAAATGATATTTTTATAACATACCAAGGACATTATACACAGATACATATACACAGGCTCTGGTCCTGTAGGCTCTTCCAGGTCGCCCCACTCGCTAAAATCTTCTACTTAAAGATTAATTTGCTATCTCTGCAGAGATATCGGTCAATCTAATCTCCAAGCAGATCATACGGTGGCCAGGCAGTATCCATCAGCCACCGAAGGACACTCCTCTGGTCAGTGGATATTGTCTTGCCACTGTATGATCTGCTTTAAGATCAGGGCAAATTCTTAGACAGAGTTTGTTCTTCAACCCAAATCACCAGTGTTTGATCTGACGTCCTTTCGGGGTCCCCAGCGGTCATTTATCGGTGGGCTCTGATTGGTCGTGGTGTTTATAGGATTTTAATTCAATCCCCACTGGTAAATTATGGCCTCACGATAGCCAATTTGTAATGGGGAGATCTGATTGGCCAACGCCTAGTGGCTGTATGATAATGCATGGTGTTCACTTGTCAGGATCACGAATACTTATTTACATGTCAGCTACTCTTCATTTCGTCCGGAATTCTTTAAGATTCGTGCTAATGCTTAGGCGCCCCTGGCCTAGCCGACGAATCTTAAACACTGTGTAAATTTTGCTCCATCAAACTGCCGCATACAACTGTGCTTGCTTCAACGTTATATTTATGGTTATATAATCCCCAAGCAGATTCTCTAGGGCGAGTGAGTCTGTATTCGCCGCCTGTATCCATTGGGTACCACCTTGGAGGCGTATTGGAAAATGACTAGCCAATTTGATACTGTCTTGAAGCTACCCGAAGACCTGCTGCTTGGATCTTTTCTTCGCATGAAGTTCCCCGAATCGAACTGTCTTATTACGTCTTTGGATTACATCTGATGATTACTAAGAATCAGTATCATCAGATGATGTTACATCTTTACACCTCGGTTCATGTAATGGTATGATACCTGGACATGATTTGTGACATCATAGGAAAGGCAATCGGACTGTAAAAGAAAGAAGACTGATCCAAGTATTGTGTATCATGAACTTTATTAAATCCAAACCAAGGATCTCTCTTTAATAGAGTTGCTCCTGGTCAATGGCATGAAATCATTTTTCAACGTTCCCCTTTATCCAACTTTACCGTCCCTGAGCGAAAAGAAGACTTGGTCTAAAGACTCTGCAATAGATCATTCCCGTAGCCACGTTCCATTCCGTCATAACGTAGAAATGCAGAATCGAAACATGCAAATGCAAACATTTGACGGAGATGTAGCCACTCTGTCATTGGTCGAACCGCTAATTGCCATTCTCTCATTGGCTGAGCGTTTGGTGGCCAGGATTCGTCTATTCGCTACAGGTAGGACATATTAGATACTAGTGTACTACTAAGTTGTTGGGAGGGAACCGGACGTTGGACGCTAGTTTAGTTGTTGGCCATGGTGTTTTCCAGCCACTGGCGGAGGTTGGTGACGCGTGCGTACACGGCAGGGGTGGAGGTGCTGCACTGGGAGCTTCCCCAGGACACAACTCCCACCAGGTTCCAGGCGCCGTCCTTCTGGCACACCAGCGGGCCGCCAGAGTCACCCTGGCGGCACAGAAAAAGAGAAAAACGTTAGAAACAAGAAATACTAGTAGAAGATTACCGACTTCTGGAAAGTGTTTGGGGATTGTGTGAATGCATTGGAACTCTACCCGATTGAAATACATCATAAGGTTGTATGACGTAGCGTAGCTTATTCCGGCATTGCACTTTTGTCTTTCATATCATGGTTACAAAGTACGCATTTCTGGCAACCTCATGCCGCATTCTATTACCCAGGGCGTTCCGAGTCACAACCCTGTCAATCAACTGAACCCCTATCTCCACCCACCCATGTCTAATACTCTCTACTTGGGACGGATCAAGTAAAGATTTTTGCATTCGTTGGGGCTGCACTAATCTTCGTATCTTTACTGCTCTGAAATATTTGTTTTCTACCCTTGGTGTCATTGACAGGCTTATAGTATCTCATTGAAGAGTTCAGTGGTGTGTACATTGGTGTTTGGTACAAAATACACGACGGTCTCACCATGCATGAAGTAGCGCCATCGGCTCCAGCGCAGATCATCCTGTCAGTGATGGTGTTGACACTTCCCCAGGCAGACTGGCAACTCGATGTGCTGATGAGGGGGATCATGGCCTGCTGCAGGATGTCGGGGGTGGTGGAGGCTGGCGGAAAAGGGGTACAGTCGTTATTTTGACGTAGATAATCTTTTAAGGATGGTGAAGGATTGTGCTAGATGTGACCATAGTCCCCGACCCTCCAGACGAGGGTGGGACAAGGTGACGTACGTACTCCTGCCTTTTAAGCTTTAGAACGCTTCTTCTGTCGCCTTTCTGCTAAAAAGACTGGATCTGCATATATTCTATCTACTCAGCCCTACTCTATCTACTCGATATGCTCAGCCCCTTTAACGTTTATCAGGTACTGTTTTAAAAAAGAGCACGTTACGTTAAAAACGAAAACTCACAAGAGGCAGAGGTCTTTCCCCATCCTGAGGTGTAGCAGCTCATTCCAGCGGGGAAGGAAGCATCGTCGCCGGCTTGCGCCAGACAGACCGGGTGGACGTTGGTGTTGAACTCGGCGGGGGTGGCCAGCTTCAGTAGGCAGATGTCGTAGTCGATGGTGTTGGAGTTGTACTGCTGGTGGCAGAGCTTCTTGGAGATGCGCTTGCTCTGGATGGGCTCGGTGCCGCCGCCCTTGTTGTGCTCTCCCAGGATGACGTAATCGCCGGAAATGCTGCGGAAACGTTGACAGTGCGAAAATGATGTTGTGTATATCATTAGTAAAAAGTACTAGTAGGTAGTGCCGATCTGTCTTTCTCGTGATAAATGAAGCGTACATAAGACTTTTATCAGCGAGTGGATTTAACTACGGAGTCAACCATTACACGACTAAAGATGGTGTCAGAAGTGGGATTGCTGTCGTAGTTTCGTCTGCAGATACACTGTAGGTTGAGCACGGTGCTACATGTAGGTATCGAGTGACCCTTTTACAACAGTACTGGTTTCAATTGCTGTAGGGTCGAGATTACCAAATTTGTTGTAGCACTCCATTTGGAACTTTGAGTCCTATTGCTATTTGGAGAGCTAGGCGACCATGACACTGGTCAGCCAAATCGCGAAGACCAAATTCCTACAACAGTGGTAAGTACACCTTCTAGCCTATAAAACTGACGTACAGACCTGTACACTTGACAAGAAAAGGACTTACGAGGGATCACAGTGAGCTGCAGTGACGACCCACTCGTTGTTCACGATAGAACCGCCGCAGTAGTGCCAGCCTGTGGAGGTCTGGGGAAATGATGAACAAAATGTGTTTATTACGATCATATTTCTCTCGGGACGGGGGACGGTATCTACTTCGAACGTTTGACCCATTGTTGACGCCACGCGTACATAAAGCCGCTTGTGCTGGGAGTGATTGGGCCAGGTAACTGAAGAAGACGGAGTCAGCATGAGTCCAAGTTCTTTTTAGCTGGGGACCACTTTATTTTTTTCCACAATCATATTTGTGTCTCACCTGCAGAGACACCTGCCAGGGCCAGCTGTGAGGGGTGGCGTCGTCTCCGTTGACGATGCGGCCCTCAGCCTGGTCGTACCTCAGCATCTCTGAGCTGCGGGGCTGGATGGCAGGCGTTCCGCATGATCCTGGAGCGGCAAATGTGCAGGAAGGTCATGGGCGACGGACGGAGACATTTGACACACAGAAATTCCTGCATAGTCGAGTAAAAGTACCACCGAGCCTCCTTCGCAGACTTGTAGGGCATCGGCGTTAATTTTTTTTCGAGGAGCGGCGCGACTTATGCCGCGGAGGGACGGTTTTCTCGCCGAGGGAGTTTGCCAGGGAGAGACTTTTTCACCGCTCAACAAAAACTCTCTCCCCGGCAAACTCCCCCGGTGGAAAAGGGGCCCCTCCGTCGCGTCGCTCCCCGAAAACAATTAACGCCCCACAAGTTTATGAAGAGTTAGATATACAGGGCTCACTCTACACAAAGTTAAATCTGCATTAGCGATTATAACACACCGGCAAAGTTTATCGTGTAAAGTAACTATTGCCAGACATCATTCCACTTCATCATCATCGGTTAATTCTACTTTCAATACAGTTGTAAACTCACCAGGAGCGTAGGTGGGAACGGGGACCGTGGTGGTTGTGATGATTTCACCTCCGCGGCTGTAGGTCAGGGAAAACCCGGACGCCGTGACACTGTAGTCCGTAGAGAAGACGATGCGAACCTCGGATCGGGTGGTGAGGGTGGCCGGCCTGGTACTACCGCAGTAACTTCCTGAAGTGAACAAAAGACGGATATCTTACTACTGTCTGCTGAAACCATCCTCTAATATCTGTATCTGTATAGCCGGTATAACCGCCCTTCGGCGTAACACACCAGCTTCGCAGGCACGCGGCGCGGCGACAGCTGGTTATATTACACCGATCGGCTTGTTAACTTGTTAACTTCTAACTCTAGACATTGTTTAAATCTATCTAATGATAATGCCCCTACAGGTGACAGTGAGTTCCACTCTGCGAAACTTCTAGAAAAGAATGGATTTTTTAACACCTCAATCCTTGGTACGTACTTGAAGGCATGGCTATTTCTTGTTCTCTTCTGGGCTGGTATGACAGAAAGCACCGTGCTAAGACTGCACAGATGGATTTCTATCCCTTACCAAGATTGTTGCCCCCTTCGTACACGGTGACGACATCGTAGCAGCTTCCGGTCCAGGAGCTGGCTGCCTCCAGATGGAAGGCCGTGAACTCGATCTGCAGGAGCTGGCCGGTGTGGGGAAAGACGTACTCACAGTTCAAGTCGTTGCCGTAGTTGCTGGGGTAGTTGGGCGAGGCCGCCGTGCCACTGCCACCGCTGAAAGTTCCGCCACAACTTTGGGCTGGAAATAAAAACAAATGTATTGTTGGTTACCGGTTACCAGCTGCGGCATCATTAAATCAACGTTTGGGATTCATCTACCATTGGGCTATTCTCCTACGGTGGCAAACCAGTATCAGTTGGTCATTGTGGTTAATGGAAACTCCTGTGGGCAGTGGATACTGTCTTGCCACCGTAGGATCTGCTTGGAGATTACTGCTGGGCAATTCTGGTCTTTTCCGAAGGTTTATGATGAGCACCAATAAACAGTGCAACAAAAATATCGACAATGTACCAAACGATCGACATGGTTCCCTAACCGTGTCAAGTACGCGTCACACCACTGGATAGTTTAAAGTAACTGAGACCAAGAGAGAAATTCCAAAGAACAAACTTACCATTGGCGTAAGACACCAGAGAAAGGACACACAGAAGCCAGATCATCTTGCTTGGAGACTCACAACACCTTGTAGAATCGGCTTTCGGAGTGATGAAAGAACCTGGCATTGGCGCCGGTATTTATACAAAACGCGTGGCTGTAACCCAGAGAAAAGGACAGATGGTCATGGTTAATTTGACGTTCAAGTTAAATTTATTAGATCCGGTGAATTCTGGAGTGTTTTATTATCCTGGCCATGCTTGAAATAGTCGGATCTTATTTTAGAAACACACGTCGAAAATACAATCGTGTTGTTATCCATTGAAACTTCTTTTTTTGTTGGTGTTTCATAAAACAACCACATGCCGTATCCGGTGCAATGTCACATACTGACTATGTAATTCCATGGAAGAATAGATTTTAACAGTCTTTTAACAGATTTTAACAATTGTATATGAAGTTAAGATTATTAAGATCAGATGCGTAGGTGAATGACGACTGTACACTCCGTGCTCTATGTTGAGAATAAAAAAAAACTGTAGCCTGGGTGCCACCCTCCATAGTTATCAAAAGAGAGAGCCGGCGGTAACTGGCTACGGAGGATAGCAGCCAGGCTTAAAATTCAGTCATGTGAAAAACGTATGGCGTAGCGACAGCGTGCTCGACTCGGAACCAAGAGGTCCCTGGTTCGAGTCCTGATAGTCCTGACATGCCACAGATCTTGTGCCCTTGGGAAAGGCACTTTACACGACTTTTCTGAGTATTGTCTTGTCGGGTATTCGTCCTCTGCGTTGGTATGGCATAAAATAAGTTGATACAACTTGAGTGTGCTGTAACCATGTCTAGTCATGAAATCACCATGTGACATGTGACGTACAGTTAGTTACCATGTGACAGCCTACTTACAACTTGAGAGTCTTCAACTCTGTGACGCACAGGTGGGAAAGTGGTCGTTATCACAAAGTGCTGCCGGTATTGCGGCCATTTTCTTGCGAATACAACATACGGAGGGACCAATAATGTACAGCTTGAAGTTTGATTATTCAAGATAATAGAACGAGTGTGCATTTCGTCTACTTTCAAGGACTTAATTAGGATACAATCAATTTTCACGTCTCTTATTCTAGCTGTTTATTTTTTCCGAAGAAAGAAACGCCATTAGACACAGTCGTTGCGTCAGGTTTAAGATACCCTACACTTACTACACACTGGGAAGTGGCCGCTAGTCATTTAAAGCGTTTACTTGCAACATGCATATACCCACCATTGTAGTAAGGGCATTGACCAGTGCGCCATACTCTATGTGTTTACAATGTGTGCGTTTATTCTGATAACAAAACACTCAAGGAAGTCCGCAATGTCTCGTGATGTAATTGGGAGTTAATTGATCTACTGAGGTACACATATTACAACGAGATACACATTAACCAAAGGTCAGTAAAAACAAAAGCAATGGAAACAAATGTCGTGAAAACAGAAATCTCGACAACACAAGGCATGATCTGAAAACAGAAGTCATGAAAACAAAAAGCATGAAAACAAGGATATCTGTAACATCCTACCCGTAACTGACAAATGTAATCAGTATCAATAAAGATCTCTGTCTGGATACATGTTTGCCCTTTGTTGTACTCAAGTGTCGCAGTTACGATAACTCTGTGTTCAAACCTTTATGGCAGGAAAGGGTGGATGATAACAGCACTAATGTTGCCAATCTTAAACCACTCGAAACGTCACAACTTGCCCTTCAGGCGTTTATCGAATCAGTTCATCTCCTGCATCAACTCGACCATCTGCCGTTTTTCCTCGTCGCCCTGTTTAGACAGGTTGGAGAAATTGTATAAAGACGTCGCTACGTGACTTCACGTTCACTCCGAAATCCGGTTGCTTGCCTGAGAAGCTACGAGTACATCTGTCTCCACGATGCTGCGACTTCTGTGCTGTCTTGTGTTGGTGTCCTACACCGCAGGTACTGATACATTATTTCTTAAACATAACGGTAAATCTATTTGACGATGTTTTCAGCAAGTTGGTAATATTGCGACTATAAACACTATTATGGTGCCACATACGTCAAGTTTACCTCAGATGTCAATGTTGAATTATAACCATATCATGAATGTGACAAGAAGGTACAAGTAGATGATGGATAAGTAATGAGTGGGCTGGAGGTGAATAGTTCAGTTACCGAGGGGTAACGTGTATCAGTGTCACTCTAGGAGTCATGTTCTCACAGTTTAAAGGCTTCTGTTTTCCCAAACTTTAGCTATGGACCGGTCATATACGTCGCGCGATCGTCGTGACAGCATTCTTGGGTACAGGTCTCCTACAAAATCCAGCTGCCCTGTTACCGTACCGAAAATGTTGTCTTAAATCTTTGCCGGCTAATGGTTCTGTTACAACCTGTATGAAAATTCTGCGGCACCCAAATCGTGCGATGACCTACGACCAAAAATCCTTGCTACGACTAATGACCGCACCTTGACTGACTTGCACGATTTTTGAAGCATGCTCGCTATGAGATATTTGTCCTACTAATTCCAGCCCAAAGCTGTGGCGGGACCTTCACCGCCTCCAGTGGCACGGTGGCCTCGCCCAACTACCCCAACAGCTACGGCAACGACTTGAACTGTGAGTACGTCTTTCCCGCCAACGGCCAGCTCCTGCAGATCACCTTCAACGCCTTCCTGCTGGAGGCCGCCAGCTCCTGGACCGGGAGCTGCTACGACACCGTCACTGTGTACGATGGGGGCAACCGCGTCGGTACGTCTGATGAGGTTTTATCGATCTAAGAGGCTTTTAAAGGCACCCAATGCGATTTCAGGGTCGTAAAGCTGTATTTTCAGATTCACAGTTTTCTGGCCATTCTTTGAATGTATTAAGAGCTGATATCTACGAGGCAAAGAATGTGATGTTGCTAACGGAAATGGTTGCCTGTTTCGAATCGTAATCTGGTTCTAGCGTGGCTTGTTTGGGGGCTATTTCAAACGCTTCAAGTATAAACCGTTGATGATAACGTGCTACAAATGTCACTATCAGACAGATCTCTAAACTAAGCGAGTTCTCCTTTGCTTTAGGTGCGTACTGTGGCTCTCAGAGCCCTGGAACCATCACCACCCGATCCGAGGTTCGCATCGTCTTCACATCCGACTACAGCGTCACGACGTCCGGCTTCTCTGCTTCCTACAGCCGAGGAGGTGAAATCATCACCACCACCACTGTCGCTCCCCCCACATACGCTCCTGGTGAGTTATCTTACATACTAGTATTTCGTGCGTATACATTTCATTTATCAGACGACAAATCGAAAATCCATCCAGCCTGGTTCCAGCCTTTCTAGCTTTTGTCCGTTCTCTTCGTCGCTTCCCTGTCAAAAAGACCAAGCTAACACCTATTCTATTCTGGTGATGACGTTTACCGCGTGACGCAATGAGCCAATTCAAACCTCACGCACTGCTGATTGGATGACGATGCTCAGGTTTGACCATTCAGAACACCTGTTCAAATTCAAACGACGGACAGATAGAACATGTACGGGTCCAGTCTTTTCGGCAGGGACGCGACGAAAAGAGCGCACTATTAAAGCTGGCTAAAATCCGTCCGTCGCCCATGACCTACCTGCACATGTGCCGCTCCAGGATCATGCGGAACGCCTGCCATCCAGCCCCGCAGCTCAGAGATGCTGAGGTACGACCAGGCTGAGGGCCGCATCGTCAACGGAGACGACGCCACCCCTCACAGCTGGCCCTGGCAGGTGTCCCTGCAGGTGAGAAATGTCATCGTGGAACAAATAAACTGTTATCCAACTAAAACAAATGGACTCACTTGAATTTTTTTACTAAAAGACTCTTCAGCTATCTGACCCAGTCGCTCAGGACACGTGCCTATATGCACGTGTGACGTCAGCAATGTGACAAAGGTTGTTGGAAGTCGATGCCGTCCCCCGTCTCAGGAGATATATATGATGAATGAATGAATGAATGAAAGACCTTTATTGTACGCTTGTGCTCTAACGAGCTAAGTACAGGTCATGGGTAAACAGGGAAAAGAAAACAGTAATGACACTTACATACTATATAAACTAATGTGATCTACTATTTACAGGTTCAGCTTCTTCTCGCTTCTTGACGCAGTTAAAGATGTACGAACATATTGAGCTAATTATACATGGTTTGTCAAGTTTCATGAGGAATTCGAATTTTTCTATTCTATTTAAATGTCTAAAGCTTGGGAACTTATCTATTACATAAGTATAGAGGGAATCCCTCTCGTTTCTATATAATGTGCAGTCAACTACAAAATGGCATTCATCTTCAATATAATCTAGATTACAAAATTGGCAGATCCTTTGCTGTAGAGGAATGTGGTTGTGTCTTCCCTTTTCTATATGTGAACACTTACCTTTTGTTCATCGTTTTCCCAGACCTCCACAGGCTGGCACTACTGCGGCGGTTCTATCGTGAACAACGAGTGGGTCGTCACTGCAGCTCACTGTGATCCCTCGTAAGTCCCTTTCTTGTCAAGTACAAGCCTGTACGTCAGTTTTATAGGCTAGAAGGTGTACTTGCCAATATTGTAGGGATTTGGTCTTTTGGCGATTTGGCTGACCAGTGTCATGGACGCTTAGCTCTCCAAATAGCAATAGGACTCAAAGTTACAAATGGAGTGCTACAACAAATTTGGTAATCTCGAAACCAATATTGTTGTAAAAGGGTCACTCGATACCTAGCACCGTACTCAAGCTACAGTGTATCTGCAGACGAACCTACGACAGCAATCCCACTTCTGACACCATGTTTAGTCGTGTGATGGTTGACTCTGTAGTTAAATCCACTCACTGTCAAAGTCTTATGTACACTTCATTCATCACGAGAAAGACTATAGATCACCACTACCTCCTTTCTACTAATGATATACATAATATCATTTTTGCACTATCCACGTTTCCACAGCATTTCCGGCGATTATGTCATCCTGGGAGAGCACAACAAAGGCGGCGGCACCGAGCCCATCCAGAGCGTGCGCATCTCCAAGAAGATCTGCCACCAGCAGTACAACTCCAACACCATCGACTACGACATCTGCCTGCTGAAGCTGGCCACCCCCGCCCAGTTCAACACTAACGTCCATCCCGTCTGCATGGCAGCCTCCGGCGACGATGCTTCCTTCCCTGCCGGAATGAGCTGCTACACCTCAGGCTGGGGAAAGACATCTGCCTCTTGTGAGTTCTAGACTGTAGCTGCTAATAGTCAATGGGGCTGACTATATCATTGCCATGGGCATCTCGGACTGGGAATCAAGCCTTTTTACTAAGTATACGATTATACGCTTTCTCGGTCGCTTCCCTGCCTAAAAGACTGGACCTGTACACAGTCTATGATCAACCTGTAATTTGAACATTTGTTCAGAGTTAGGCGCGCAGATTGGCCACAAACTTGAGTGCCTCTAACAGGTCATACAATCAGCAAAGTCCACGCCCAGCGCGCGACGGTTTGAATGAGTGCAGGTCCAGTCTTTTTGGCAGGTAGGCGACAGAAGAAGCGTTCTAAAGCTAAAATGGCAAGACTTAGAGTATCTACAATAACGACTGTACCCTCTTTTCTCCCAGCCTCCACCACCCCTGACATCCTGCAGCAGGCCATGATCCCCCTCATCAGCACCTCGAGTTGCCAGAATGCCTGGGGAAGTGTCAATACCATCACTGACCGGATGATCTGCGCTGGAGCCGATGGCGCTACTTCATGCATGGTAAGACTAAATGTCATGCATCTTTTAGCATTTTATAGCAACGTCCTCAACACTGAACCGCTAAATCCTCAATAAGATACTACAAGCAACTGCCAATTACACCAATGAATTCAAACAAATATTTTAAAGACAAAACAAATATTCCAAACAAATATTTCAAAGAACAGTAGAGATACGAATATCGGTTGAACTGTCCCAAGTAGCGAGGGTTGGACGTGGGTGGGTGGAGATTGGGTTTCAGTTGACTGACAGGGTTGTGATTTGGCATGCTGTGGGGGGCAGGGTGTATCAAGAGGTTGCCAGAAATGTGCACGGTGTAATCATGGAATGAATTACAAAGCAATGTGTAATGCCGGAATAAGCTACGTCATAGAATCGTATGCCATTCTGTGATGCAATTCAATCGGGTATTTCCCCATAATCATACAGTACGGTTACAATAGATTCACAAAATCTCCAAAAACTTCCCAGAAGATTTCCCGTTTCTAACGTTTTGCTTTTTTCCCCAGGGTGACTCTGGCGGCCCGCTGGTGTGCCAGAAGGACGGCGCCTGGAACCTGGTGGGAGTTGTGTCCTGGGGAAGCTCCCAGTGCAGCACCTCCACCCCTGCCGTGTACGCACGCGTCACCAACCTCCGCCAGTGGCTGGACTCCACCATGGCCAACAACTAAACTAGCGTCCAACACCCGGTTCCCTCCCAACAACTCATCAACTTGTGGTTAGCTAAATGCTTCAAAGGGTTACCCCGCAAGTACAAGGAGGGAACGCTATGAAGATTGTCCAAAGGACAATTCTCTTTCATCGCCTTTACGCACAAAGAGCCACGTTAACATCGGTTCATCAATCATATGCGCACAGTAGTCAATAAAGATTCAAAGACATTGTTTCATTGTTCGTCTTTTTATTGTTTGTTCCTAATGACCATATTTAATGATAATAACCAGTATTGAAGGTCATATATACATACATATACAGTGTACATGGAATCTATTGATTCTACAGCACCAATCCCACTTCTGACACCATTTTACGTCGATATAGCTGACCATTGCCACTTAGCTCTCCAAATAACAATACGTAGGACTGGTTCTAAATAAATGTGCTACATAGCAGGATACAAATCCGGCACTCCCAATTATACATCACTGCATGTTAGGGACCACAAATATGTTCCAAATTACCATATTTAGAAAAGTAATGATAAAAACCAGTCCTGCTGAAAAAAAAATACATTCGATTTATACTACAGTGTGCAAGCTGGAGTCAACAGCAAGAAATATTGTACAGTGTATCGAATGATGAAACTACGCTAATCCCAGTTCTGACACCAGTTTTAGTCGTGTGGGTGACTCCGTATTTCAATCTACTTGCTCAAAAGATAAGACCAGTCTGATCTGTACTTACAGACATACTTACTTATTAACAGTAAAGAATATACTAAAAATCTGAGGTGGGAACTGCAAGGGATTCTAACTAAGAACTTCAAAGATTCAAAGAGATTCAAAGTCACCAACCATAATCAAATGACCACCATTCCACCACTTATCCGGCCAGTTGGCTTTCTATCCAATCTACCGTTCTCTGTCTACTCTGCTCCCATGTATATAAAGGCGAGTATCCCAGATCCCTTCTAGCTTTTGCACAGTTCAAGTAGAATGTCGTGTTACAGTTCAACAGCACATTACGACTCACTGGTGGGACGAAGTTGCAAAAAGGTTTCAAGAGAAATCGCACCGATGCAAAAACTCGAGCTATGAAAAAGAGAAGCCACAGAGGAAGGACCATCCTCTCCTGGATTTTGACATCTGGGGAGAGGTACTCAAAGAATTCTTGGTAATTAGTGATAGGAGTGTCGTCGTGAATGTTATACACGGGGTCATAAGCGATACCATCAGGGGAAGCTAGCTTCTCTGCCGCTAAGAGATGAGCAAGAGCCACGTTGCCTACATACACCTGTCGAGCTTTTACATCGGGCTTAGAGATTCTTGCTCCGCGCTTCGCAACTTCGATGAACGAGAGATCGAGCGTACTACCCTCCCCATATATGTGTGGGGGTCGCAGTGCGCACGTGTGAAGTTTCCCGCCGTTTTTGGTCGTCCTTCCCTTCATCTCCTGCACCAGACGTTCGGCCGCCATCTTGGATGTTCCGTAGGCCGAGGAAAGACGGCTGCGGTCGTAAGGTGACTCCTCGTCGCCATCTTCGAGTGGATCTCCTCGCCAGTTGGGCCCGAAGGCATCTACACTGCTCGTGTAGACGAAACATCGGACATTCGTTTCCAAGCAGCAGTTGAGAAGGTTCTCTGTGCCTAGGTGAAACAAAGAAGTGAAAAATGTGTCGTTAAATCTCGGCGCAAAACACCCTTAACACTTAAGCGTCACGCCACAAGCAAAATTAAAGGGCCCGACCACATTCGTCGTACTATTGTCGTACGATCGCATACTTCATGTTTCGTACAAACATCGGCTGTATTGTGACAGAAACGTCTGTCTTAGGTCCTCGTCTGCGTTTGGCCCTGGCCCTGTCCTCGTCACAGCCCTCTTGAAAATTATACGACGTCAGAATCGTAAAACGTTCTTCGACGAATGTGACCGCATCTCAGCACAAAATCTGTCAATAGTCAAGTTCTTGGTAGGTACTAGTAGTTATGTACAGCGTTCTGACTACATTTGGCCAATTAAAATGATTGACAGCTCGTTTACCTCTGACGTTGACATCCCATAGTTCCTCTTGCGTGTAGGTGCCGTCGGGAAAGTCGATGAGAGAGGCTGCGTGGATGATGACGTCAGCACCCGAGCAGATTGCCAACATTCGCTCTCTACTTCGGATGTCTGCTTCGTACACGCGGAGCTTGTCTTTTGACTTGTCTAGGAGAAAAAAATGCAAGTTATAGATCAAAAGTTTTTGAAATGCCCAAACACTACAATTGTGTTGTATAGCATTGTTTTTTTTGTATTTGACGTTATCAATTTTCATAGCTAAATCCATGAATATCAAATAGGGCTGTCGTTTTTCTCTCAATTTTAAGCAGTGTAATACTTTATCATCTAACAATAGTAATTATCAGCAATGAACGTATTGATAATATTGATATAACAGTGATGATAATGATGATGATGGTAATTACTAGTATATGATCACTCACTCACTCACTCACTCACTGGGTCGAGCTTCCCTCGGTTCCAATGACAGCTCTCCATCTCGTCCTATCCTTCATTTCTACCATCAATGTGTATATGATAATGGTAATCATATGATGATACTCGTCAAATTTCTTACAGATCATTTACGTTGCTTCCTTACCATCAAGTGTTGGAAAGTCTCTGACTTTTTTGTCCACCACCCGAAGTTCCCGGATGTGTTCCTTCCTCTCCACGAGCATGCGCACTAGATGTGACCCAAGGAAGCCACATCCGCCAGTGATGACGTAGGTCAGTTCTTGCGGCATCTGTTGGTTCAGACATAGAAAGATAAATACAGGTCAAGCATTACAAAGTTAAAATCCGTAGTTACGGTTGGGTCTCCCTCTTCACGTTCGTGGTAGCAAGAGGAAAGGCACTCTCCAAGCAGGGCTTGTGGGGGAATGATCGTTACCTTTTTATATATGGCCGTTTTTTTGTCGCTACCCCCACCACCCTGGCCAATTTGATACTGTCTTTTTGCCACCGAGAGGGATCTGCTTGGAGATTAGCGGAAAGGGAGGGCTCGACCGAGTGGTAATATAACTACGGGGGATGGCACCCAGACTAATGCCACATTAGATCAGTCCTGGAAGCACGATAACTGGACGTGTAAGTGGACGACCTACCTTACTATAGCGCTCCTTTACTTACTAGTACTGGACACAACACAGAGAAACTTTTGTGCTACGCGCTCCACTCCTCTAGTTAGTAGGTCTATTTTGCCTTGCACGACTGATTCGTCCGCCCGGGCGCGCGTCTATTGTGTCCTGGCGGGCGTCTTAAATTTCCACCTACTGACGTAAATCGAGTCAGGTGATTGTGACAGGTTTCACGCATGGATAGAGGAGTTTCACGTGATTACATTAGGGCTGCTACATTTACGTACGTCGTACGATCGTCGGGCGATCACGAATTAAACTGAATGTATTCTTTTGTTAGTCATGCTTGCAATTGTGTCCAGCAAAGTTGTCTTCTTTCGGAAAAGTATGCATGGTAGCCACCGGGTCCGCAAACCGGCCTACATAAAAACCCGGAAATAACTAGGGGGCATAGTCAAGACAACTGTGCCCTTTGGCCTGGTCGTTTGGGACAATGCGAATGATCTTTGGAGTGTTTGAGGCTTATGGCACGTTCCTTGTTAACTTGGATCCCACCTGTGAACGCTATACCCCGGCTTCGTTCTACCTCCACTCTAATCTCCAAGCAGATATTTTGGTCGCTGCAAAGACAGTATCAAATTGGCAAGGCAGTATCCATTTGGCAGACAGTTACCTTCGCTCTGCCTACACAGGTTGGCGTCTTGTCTTGTGGCATATCATACAAATAGACAGAATCCACAACTTTGTTTTTTCTGCCGACAAATACGTACGGTATATCCAGTCGTTCAATGAAGGAGCTTATTTAACCCTCCTTTATATAATAATGCAAACTCATCCTGCCCTCGAACTTCGGCCTCGGCTCAAAATCCAAGACCACACCCCCGCCCGAGATTTGTTAGAATACATTATGCAACGTCATGCCATAATATAATCTCGAAGTTCTCCCAGTGAATTCTATACTGCTATAATTGATTATTTTGGTAACGCTAGTCACCCCTATCACTTTGACCCATATCTTCATCTGGGATCAAAGGGATCTTAGCCCTTTGTAGTTTAGAAAAGTTTTTGTTGTTAACCCTATACAAACACAACATCGTTTTCTTAGCTCGGTCTTATTCTATGTGTTAGAAGTGAGAATTAGAAAGAAAAATCCAGCAAACTCACGTTTAAGTGTCCGAGGTGCACAGACCCAGCGGCCTTGTATCGTCAGTCCTAGGGCTTCTTGGAAGACTCTGCTGAGATGTGACTCTGAGTTGTGATTGTCCTCGAGTGCGGCCCAGTTGTTCACCCGGCCGTTGGTCTACTAGTATGCCCACAGTCCGGACGTCTGAAGTTTGCGTAGTTGCGAGGATGATGTAACAGACATTTACCTTTACCCAGGGTACACGTGTCTACGTGTAGTGTTTCGCGTAGTCTAGGAGCAGAGTATTGTTTGATCTATCTCAAGGCCACAGTTCGACCACAATTGTTTAACAATTAATCTTGTTGAAGGGCGCTGGGTCTAAGGGTCTATGTCGTTCCCATTGGAGACGATCGAATGCTGGATACCCCGGACCGAAGTCACTCATTGGACAGTTGCTCCCGGCTTCTGGAAAAAGTTACAATTCAGATTGGACGAATGTCTCGCTCAAAATCGTAGAGGGGAGCCACACACTACACATTCAAGGACCCCGTCGGCATTCTTCAAGTCCCCGGTGTGAGTGAATCAAATCAGCTAGCTTTTGTCCCGTCTTACCTGTCGCCTTGCACGCACTGGTACGGGGCACTGGTAAAGGGCATTACGCCTTAGGGCATTTACTATTTTCAAAGGATTGACGTCATAACCCAGTGTGCAGGTGGTATGCAAATATCATCACAGACAAAGCAAGTTATCTCAGCACAAAAAACTAGGTCAAGCAAAAGCTACTTCCTGGTCAATGTGTTACACACGAACCTACTTTCTGGGACACATGGATGTTAACTCTAATCTCCAAGCAGATTCTACGTGACAAGAAGCTAGTCACCGAAGCTAGGTGGCTAATGGACACTCCTCTGGCCAATCGGGATACTGCCTTGCCACCGTAGGATCTGCTTGGGGATTAGTTAATTCTACATGCAGGGAAAATTCCTGTGCAAGAGCTAAAACTTCAGAAGTGGGCACATTATGTACTGTACTATTAAACTCGCCCCTGAACCTTGGCCAAAAAAAATTAACGTTATATGTCGATGATTGGTTCAATAGGTACTCTCCAAGTAGCCTCCTTCACAGTCTTGTTGGGCGTGGGCGTAATTTTTTCTGTGAGCGACGCGAGTAATATGCCGCCGCGAGGGACGATTTGCTGCCGAGGGACTTTTGCCACGGAGAGAAGGTTTCCGCGCTCCAACAAGACTGCTTCCAATTGGCGACTAGAAAGGACCTCGGATTAAGCCAGCCTTTCATAGAGGCTATTAACATGTTCGTGCAGGTCCAATTCACATGTTCGCGCAGGTCCAATTCACATGTTCGCGCAAGGGTAATTCACAGATACGCATGGAGCGCTCGCCCTTTGTCAACGGTTGGTTTTATTAGCTTGCGTTATAGTGGAAGGTTCCAACAGAGAAAAGTTGAACATTGGTAATGTTACAACAAAGGCAATGCTGTGCATATTTAAGCCTCCTATGCAAACAAACCAAGACAAACTTTGCAGTACTATATATATGTGCCATTCTTTTTATTACACAACTTGCTGCGGAGCGATGCGTTACCCTCCTATGACCAGTGAGATCAAACCGCCACCAAACAACATGGCGGCACTTTGTTTATCTGTCCACGTCCCCCAGCAATATCGCTTAGCTTGCGGGTTCCTGTGGTAGTGATCTGTTTAAAGTTGTTTTTCGTAGCAGCAATGACTACGGGATTTTGTCGAGTGGATAGGGCTCGGTTTTCGAGAATGGTTGGCGTTCTACCGACGGGTTGATCGGCGACCGCTGGAAAGTTGCAAGTTTCGGCTCGTCGAGGAATGGGGCGTGAACACCTCCCTGCACTGGTGGCGTTTATTGCGGGAAGTTCACACATCCATGCCAATCGCTCCTAAGTGTTTTTTGATAGCCCTTTCTAGTCGCCGATTGGAAGCAGTCTTGTTGGAGCGCGGAAACCTTCTCTCCGTGGCAAAAGTCCCTCGGCAGCAAATCGTCCCTCGCGGCGGCATATTACTCGCGTCGCTCACAGCAGAAAAAATTACGCCCACGCCCAACAAGACTGCGAAGGAGGCTACTCTCCAAGCAGGTAGAGGTTTGAGTTTGGGGTTATTTTTGGCGTGTTTTTAGGGGTTTTTTTATTGGGGTTTCTCTTTTGCACTGGAATTTTTTTTTCACCCAACCCAACACCGTGAAAAATACGCCAAAAATAACCCCAAACCCAAACCTCTGCTTGGAGAGTATTCAACAGGTAGCCGTGGACTTTCGCACGTATCGACCAGGCCCCGACGTCACCTGCGTGTGTGAGAGTTCTTATCGTTTTGATTGATACTTCACACAATAGACTGTGTCCACTTTACTTAACCTTTGCCGCACTGTCAACATTAACGCACGTCATGTGTACGACGGACGTCACTTTATATTTGTACAGTGACTGTATCATCAGGCGTGTGCACACATGACCTTTGACCCCCAGTCAATTTTCAGCTGTATGGACGTCGGACTTTACCCTTCTGCTTAAATTGTCCGTCAATTTAACGAACTTTACGCATGTGTTACGTGGACCTTGAGATTTGACGTCGTGCAGGAATTGGTTTGTGCCTTTGTAGTTTGGTTTGTCAGTCATGATCAGCTTTGGGGATTTTGTGTTGCATTGAATCTGACCATTGCACAAGCAGTATATATAGACTGCGCGCAGTGTCAGTGCAAATTATTTGAGAACATATAAAATTGTGATGACTGAGCTACTGTAACATAATATATCTATTGATTTTGCTCCGAGTTATAATATATAACGTTACTACTAATACCGACCGTATTCCTAGAATACGTACACATACATCTAATACATTTGGTTTAAGTTTACCGCCATATATATAGAGAGAGGGGAGGGAGGATCTGTAAACGTTAGGTATCAAAGCACTGGTGGGTGGGGGTAATCCCTAACCACAAAAGGTCACAGTACACAGGAGGTAAAGGTCAAGAGGATCTTGAGGCTAAGAGCCATGGGCCCACTTTAGACACAGACTTTTGCAATTGCGGTACTGGCGACAGCGGGAATGCTGTGTAAAGAGAATTCCGGACAACGTAATCCAGTGTCGTCAAATTTCCTGCCGACAAGTCCAAAGTTGTTGGCAGAAAATTTGATGACAGCAAGAGTAGGCAAATTCACAAAAACCCAAAAGTCGTCCCGGATGTCTCAAATCTTTGATTTCTTGTTCCAGGATGGATCCAAATCCGCAGGAACACGGTCCTATCCCCATCAACTGGGCCGATGATGCAGAAGACCCTGGGCACATCCCTATTCTAGACTTCTCCCCCTACAGTCTGCTGAAGGGAGCTGTGGATGAGGACCAGCTGCAGCCGCTCGCCACACAGCTGGTCCAGGCTTTCTCCACCGTGGGATTCGTTTATCTCCGTAACCACGGGATACCAGCTGCTCTGGTGAGGACAGGTTTCATACCAATGTGAATATCTAAAGTTTGTTGTTGTATCCTTTTGTTTATGCCTACAGCTGCAGAGAGGACCCCCAGACCAACCAGCACCTGATGCACTGTGAGCTGCAGGGATGGACCCACCTGCACAGACACAGACTTCCGGAAGGCCAAGGCACAGAACTGGTTTGAGAGCCATAGCAAGAAGCTATCAGATAATGCTAGTTTAGTAATTATGCAAATAAGATGCTGATTAGCATGACATTGGTCCATTGATGGTCGCCCTCTCTACCCATAGTAAATACATGTAAACAAGGAAATGTTACTCAAGCAACTGGATATATTTTGAAAATTGTCACTGTGAAAACTGAAAATTTGACTGTTTTCAAAATTTATCCTGTTGCTTGAGTAGTTAAACAATCCTTTATCTCATTACCTGATGCCTAACCTTCATTGGCGTACATACTATATAATTGCATATATATTGCAATTCTTTTTTACAGTGATGAAATTTCAAACATCAAACCGTTCCATTCTTGCTACCCTCTATTGCGTTGTAGGTGTCCAGGACTTTTGAGCTAGCAGACAAGTTTTTTGCTCTACCGGAAGAAGTGAAAACCAAGTTCTCGCGGCCTGCAGACAAGAGCCATGGATGGGTCTGTTTGGAAAGAGAACGGTATCTGGGGAATTCTTTGTGCTGCATTTCTTGACATTGTTTTATTTGTAACATTTACACAAGAAAAACATATTGTTTTTCCTCTTCTCCAAACACAAAAGGTCAATAACCTGGGCCAGACAGTCTATTATCATGGTGACTAGTGTTGGGTTACATCATGTTGCAATTTTATAGCAAGAGGGATTTAGACTTATACATTGTGCAATTGTCATATGATGGCAATGCTTTTCTTGTACATGTATCTGTGTACTGTGTACTATAGGGTGACTATGGAAAGGCCAGGGGACCTGAAGGAAGCTTTTAATGTGAGGCCACCACATGCCACAGAAAAGGTGATCCCTTTGACACATAACTCTCTGTAGTCGTCACCTGAGAAACAATTGCTTTGTAGAAATAGTAATATATTTACATTTTATTGTTCAAGCCTCCTCCTTGTTGGCTATTGCACTAGTAGCTTACAGGAAAAGCATTATACTTCACCTGAGTTGAGTTGAGGATGACTGCTTTACCTTACTTGTTTAGTAGTCATGTCTTGTCCAGTGACTTTGACCTGTGTTGCCCCTTTTATAGCTGTGGCCAAACGAGGAAGTACCAGAGTTCCAGCAGGCGTCCCTGCAGCTGTATGACAAATGTCGTCAGCTCAGTCTCAGAATAATAGAGCTTATGGCCAGGGGACTCAACATCCAGGTTAGTGCCAAACATACTTTTTGCTACAGACCACACTGACTTGATTACATGTATATGTCAAGAAGACCCATGTGTGCATTTTATTTCCTGAAAAATAGGTATTTAGGCTTCTGTAGGTACATGAATGACAGAGATGACAGAGATTGAAAGGAAAAGAAGAGGGTGCCAGAAGGGCTTGAATCGCCACTCACTTGCAACATCTAGTTTTCGGAGCAAACAGACTGCGGTATAGCCTGTGTTTACCAAGCTCTTGCCACCGGGGGTTAAAGACCCCATCCAACAGGAGCAGGCTAGACTGCAGTACTCCCTCCTTCTGCTAGGTAGCACTGCAAGTACATTCAGTCCTCTTCACTCTGGGAGAAATATAGGTGGTGAAGTATTTGTATTGCAGTAAAGAGGGACAATGCCTTTGAAAATACAAATGGACAAATTGCAAGAAATGTTTTAAATGTTGACTTTGCAATGTTTTCATTTATTTGTTTGTTTGTTTGTTTAGGATAAGGCAGGCCTGCTGTCCATGCACAGTATGATAGGTACAGGACCCAATGGGAGCCTGATGCGAACCTTGCGTTACCCGCCTGTCCCTGAACAGGTGAAAGAAGGACAGATCAGATGTGGAGAACACACCGACTATGGCTCCATTACTTTACTGTTTCAGGACAACGTAGCTGGGCTAGAGGTGTGTGCAATGAAATTTCTTACTTTCATTGGTCGAGCTCCCTCTTGAACCAAACTTACTGGTAAAAGCATCCTCCACTTCACTCTATTCTCCATGAGGGACTGGATTTCCTTTACTTCTGTCAGGCTGGCTTCTGATCTTAAGTTGTCAATGAAGTCTGAGACCCTTAACTTTGATCCCTTATGTGTTCTCAAACAGAAGTATTGTTTTGGGTGTCTAGAGCTGTGTGTCTATCTGTCCAGACAGTTTGACATTACATGGGTGGGGAGAAGATTGATTGATTGATAGGCAGAATGTCTAAAGTTCAGACAAAGAATTTATGGCAAAGGCAGAGAACCAGAGGCCAACATTCAGAAAGCTGAGGATAGCATGAGGGACCCTTCAACACTTCCCGGAAGTCTGACATTTCTGACTTCTTGTTTACGCTACAATATCGCCTTGTATGGTGTCTGATTTATTTTTTTGTTATCCAGGTACAGAACTGTGATGGGGAGTACGTCCCTGCCCCTCCCATCCCCAACACTGTGGTGGTCAACATCGGAGATCTCATGCAACGCTGGACCTCAGACAAGCTGAAGTCTACGGTATGAAACAATACAGCGTGTTAGCTTTACTAATAATAACAAACACAACAACATTGGGTCGTGTGGTATTACTTCTGTTACCCTGCACTTTACAATCAAAAGAATCATTTGGGTTTGGCAACATAAAACAGCAAAAAGAAACTGCAACACTGTATTATTGTTTTACATCAAAACACCCCATACTAGTACTATAAAACATTTGATCCTTGCAAGGACATTATTAGATATATCTTGATATAATGCCTTGATCCTTTAGCCTGGGTTCCATCCTGGTTAGTTTACGTCCGCTCCTACAGTCGCTACCACCAACCATTGTAGGAGCGGACGTAAACTAACCAGGATGGAACCCAGGCTATTGATCCTTGCCACAGCAATAACTTCATCTCCTGCCTTGTTGAAATTCCATTATCCTTTGCAAATGAATACCTACCTTTGACAATGTATAACTTATTTCTTACAATTGCTCTACAGAGCCATCGAGTTCTTCTGCCAGAAACAGAGGAAGGGAGGAAAACTGCCCGTCGGTCCATCGCCTTCTTTGCTCATCCTAACATGGACGCTGTGATCACGTGCCTGGACGGATCCAACAAGTATCCACCAATCACAGCTGGGGAGTACCTGAAACAGAGACTCACGGCTACATATGATGTCAGCTAATACAAACATGTCAATCAAACATTTGACAGCAAATCCAAGAAGAGAGCTGACAGTATCAATAAGTATGCTGGAGAATACCTGAAAACGTGACTGACAGCAACATGATGGTATGAAACATACTTAAGCTAATTCAAAGGTGTCAATCAAACATGTAACAGCCAATCACAGAAGAGAGCTGACAGCAGTAATTGATTCTGGAGCCTTGATTGGCCCCAGAGTAACCAATGACAAGTAATCCTGGGCAGATGTCTGTGCTTATTGTTGATTGGCCCAAAACTGCCCAATCATAGAAGCTATAGTTTCAAGCACCAATAACTTAAGTATATATAACGTTATATATTATTGTTGATATTTCATATCAAAGTGCCTTTGTGTATGAACATGGTACACAATAAACAGCTTTAATATGACTGGATATTTAGTTTATTGTTTTGGGTGGTTAAGTTGTGGGTTTGTGTGTGTGTGTGTTTGTTGTGTGAAGTGAGATCATCAGCATTTGTGATAGTGAGATAGCTGGGAGTAAGTGGGTGGTATGTGGAGGAATTCAGGAAGACACATGTAATGCCCGACTGAATTACATCATACAATCCAATCCACAGTTCCAATGCATTCATGAGACCCCAAAACACATAAGGGAGGTCTGTGAACTCATAGAAGTTCAGTGGTGAACTTGAATGTCACAAAAACTCAAAACACAAACTTACCAGAAGTCTGAAAACTCTAATTTCTCTCTATTTTTGCGTTGCTTATTCAACCAGATGTTGAAATGGTAGATTTTTGCACCTTTTTCTTGTTGCCCCGTTGTCCCACACTCATGCGCTGCTATGTCTGAACAGCAGACGGGCACGAAACGTTATTACCTTCATTCCCAACATCTGCTTGGAGGTATACGTACTGAAACTTAGCCTGGTGACGTCGTTCAACTTTGACCTCCGCGTGCATCCCCGATCGTGGAAGATTCCGGAAGCTTCCCTCAAATAATATTACTAAACAGACCAAAATCTTGCAGTTTGCTGATGACAAATAATCTCCAGAGCACAAAAGCAAAAGATGGGGCGAAGAAGGGAAGTTTTGATGGTACATTTGGAGGAAAAAATCGTCAAAAAACCATCGAAGTTGCTGTGTGTGTTTTACAAGGAAATTAAAACATAGCAGCAAAACGTGTTTCACACTTTCTTTTTTCTTAAGAAATATAAAACTCAATATGATATCAGGTACATTTCTGATACTTTACAAATATATCTTATATTCTGTTAAGGACAGAAAAGATATGCAATATCTAAAACCATTTAAATATTCTGCTCTACAGAATTAGACCGTGTCTTATTGCGTTTCTATGCGGTGAAAATGTTAGACCGGGCATGCACCGGCATGACTTGTTGTAACGTTACCACATGACACCAGAAAACCTGCTAAATACCAACAATTCCTCCCCTTAAACACACGGAAATTGGACCACGACATCACCAGACGCCAGATTAGCAGTTAGAAACTGTCAGAGATTTCGATCGTAAGTATACAATCGTAATATTGTGCCAGTAAAAAGGGTCGCGAAGGGGGAAGTCCTCAAGCAAGCAAAAGTAGGCGGGGAGGGTTGTCTTACCAAATATAACCTACTTTTAATAGTCTTACGAAAATTGTGTTGTACATATAACTTGGTGAACATACTTATATGTGGAAATTTATAAGACAACAGTCTTGTTGCAATGTTTTATAATTCGCTTGTGTTTGTGTGCATTAGTCAAGTGAAAGTTGGCAGCTGAAAGTTGACCCACATAGAATGACCTAGTAACGTTATATATATTTGCAACCTTTGGCAAACAAACACACGCTTGCTTCGTACCCTGTAGTGTACTGATTGTAATCTGATTGTTCCCGATCTTAAAATCGTATTGATGTCTCAGTGATGTTGTATTTATCAAAATGACTTGTGCTGTGTCACAGTGACCTTCTAGACAACTGAACTCATGTAGCCTAGATGTCAGACCCATACGCTTGGCCCACGTCTAGAGTTAGCCAGACAGACTGTGTGGTATAATTTCCTTGGGGGCATGTTGGCATGTTGGCCTACGGTAGTATGTGGGCCGTGGAAACAGTCTGGCACCTAGCATAGAGCTTATGTGACAATTTTGTTCATTGTATTGTTAATATGCATATTGATGTAAAAATTATGTTGATACTGGCAAGGAGATTTAAAAGAGTTTTTTAAAACCACCTCGGTACTGGTAAGGTATCATTGTTCCTTATGAAAATCTTGTTCAGGGATGGAGACACATGTACACAACAGAACGGCCACACCCCCAATGGTTGGGAGTCCTTGGGACGTCTCACCAGAAGACCACGGGCACATCACCATCATACTGTCACTATAATGGTTTGTTAGAAAAAATACACATTTCACATGAATGCCATATTGTGTCCTTCTAAATATTGTTCAGGGATGGAGACACACACACAACAGAACGGCCACACCCCCAATGGTTGGGACGTCCCACCAGAAGACCACGGGCACATCCCGATTATAGACTTCTCCCCCTACAGTCTGCTGAAGGGAGCTGTGGATGAGGACCAGCTGCAGCCGCTCGCCTCACGGCTGGTCCAGGCTTTCTCCACCGTGGGATTCGTTTATCTGCGCAACCACGGGATACCCGCAGCTCTGGTAAGCCTATGACTTAAAGTTGAAGCCTTAATCTAGAGAGAAAGCTATAGACTTACAGAATTATCTCGGGAAACAATTTTTGAGAACATACAATTTTTATAAATCATGTTAGGCAGCAGATAATAGATAGACCACTAAAAATATTTCTACTTGTACTATTGGAATATGCCTTAGCACAGTCACTATCAAAGGCAAGTTTCTTACAATACATTGTAGAGTCAAGGCTGCCCAAGAAGACCACCAGGGGACCAATAAAATCTGGTGTGTGTGGACAGGTTGTTGCTATATAGGATTCAAATGCTTGCATCAATAGGAAACATTATTTACACGTAAGGTACCCCCCCCAAAAGTGGCCATGGTCACATTGGCCATTGGTGGTCCTTATGTGGAGGTGATCACTTGTACACGTTTGACTGTACTTTGAGTTTAAACTGCATGTACACTATGAATAGTATGATGCAGTATAATTGATCTACTATTCCTTTTCTAGGTATCCCAGGCATTTGACTCCTCCAGTAGATTCTTTGAGCTGCCAGAAGAAGTGAAGACAAAGTACACCTTACCGCTGGAGAAGGCCATGAGCCATGGATGGCTCCATCTGGAGAGAGAGAGGTGGGTGGTAACATCAGACTTATACAAAAAACAAGAAATCAAAGATTTCAGATACATTGATGAAGGTTAGACCTCCAGGTAATGAGATACACAAAGGAACTATCACTCAAGCATTTTGTTACTTAAAGATTTTAAACTTCCAGGAAGTATTTTGAGAAAAGCAAGTAAGCTAAGGCAAGATGGCCTAGTTCCTTGTTGTAGGATTTTCATGGGAGCTATGACAAATCTAACAAGATATATGGTAGTACCTTTTTCATCATGAGACTTTTGGATGACACATCTATGACTGTGGTAAGCCTGTCTTAATATGACAAATATTAAGACTTTTGGTGATAACTATTAGAAGAAATGCATACTAGTAATATTGTCACTTTTTTTTTTCTTGCATTTTCCTTTATTGTTTGACTGCATGTATGTTTTTTCTCTTCACACAGAGTGACGACCAAACGGCCACCAGGAATCAAAGAATGCTACGACGTCAGGCCACAGGTCGCCACAGAAAAGGTAGCTACCATCATCTTAACCTTCAGCCTTTCAGTGAAGTGAAATATGTTTTATTTGCTTGCAAATTTGGCCTTTAATGTCTTATTTAGTGGGTCACTTTTCCTGAAGATGGCCAAAGTAAGGAGTGAATAGGAGTATAAACCAAAAGCAGTTTTTGTTGGTTTCAACCTTGATCTAGTGACATTTTAACTTAAGACTATGCTAGACATATGTGTTAATCTTAATGTGAGGACCACAGGAAGAATAGCTGAAGTATCAACCAAATATATTCCATGAGTCAAATGTTAGCTAATGTTTGCTAAATTTTTGTTGTCCACAGATGTGGCCGAGTGAGGAGGTACCAGAGTTTGAGCAGGCGTCCCTGCAGCTGTATGACAAATGTCGTCAGCTCAGTCTCAGAATAATAGAGCTCATGGCCAGGGGACTCAACATCCAGGTCTGTATTGTTGGTCATGTCAGTAGTAATGTATGTGCAGTTGGGTTCATTTTTGTGGGAGGGCACTTTGAGGAGAGCAGTCAAACCTATACAACCATAACCAAACAAGTGGCCACCTGTTCATAAGGACCACCTGGCCAATGTGACCACTTTTTGCTGGATAATTTTTCCCACTGACACACGCATTAGGAATCCAGCCCATAGTGATGAGCACCTGTCAACATAAACAAGATTTTATTGGTCCCCTGAATGCCCTGAATGATCTTTTTGCGTAGTTTTTATGTAACTGGAATCATTATGATCATGATAAACTACCAGTAGTGTTCAAATTGAAGGACATTAGAATCACACGCACCAATGCTCACACACACACACACGCACACACTTGCATGCACACACACACACACACACACACACACGTGCACTCTCTAACACACACAAACACACATGCACTCAAACCCCCCAGAAAATTAAAAAGCAATCACTCAAATAGTAAGCACCCAGTATGAAACCCTGAAAAACCTTTGGTGTTTTCTCAATGTAGACTTTTTCTTCCTGTATCCTGTAGAATGTCTCTCACTTCCTGTCGCTGCATGACAAGATCGGAACAGCGGCTAACGGCACCATGATGCGCATCCTGCACTACCCCCCTCTCCCAGAGCGGGTCAAGCCGGGTCAGATCCGCTGTGCTGAACACACCGACTACGGCGAGATCACCATCCTGTTCCAGGACTCTGTCGGAGGGTTAGAGGTACATGTGTTTTGTACGGAAGTCACTTAGCCTGGCTAAATTATGCTTCTAGCAGCCCTTCCACTGGTCAGACCTGTAGAAGCTTGATAACCAACACCTCTAAGTCAGGAGAATTGGGAACATCCTAATCTGTTTTATTCATGCAAATCTGCCAACATGGACCAATACTATTGTCAGACAGAGTAAACTGTCTGTTACTGTAGTGTTGGAGGCTGTGATGACTGGTTTTCATAGTGACAGAGAATCCTGAGTTCCTATTGGACTAGTTGTCATAGTGATCATGAACCCTAATATCCTATTGGTCTGGGAATGGGAATACTAGTACTAACTGTTGTACTTCAACTAATACAATGAATTGTAGCTTAATGTCCTGTCTTGGGGGCTTTCAATAACATGTATTCTGTCTGATTGATCTTTGGATATCCAGGTGCAGAGCTGCGAGGGAAAGTATGTCCCTGCCCCTCCCATCCCCAACACTGTGGTGGTCAACATCGGGGACCTCATGCAACGCTGGACAGCAGATAAACTAGCCTCCACGGTAGGAAAAACAATTTGTGTTTGTTTTTGTGTGTGTGTGTGTGTGTGTGTGTGTGTGTGTGTGTGAGTGTGTGTGCGTGTGTATCTGTGTTTGTGTGTATGTCTTTGTGTCTGTGTTTTGATATTTGTGGCTAGCATGACTTAAGAAGGTCTACATTGATAGTGATGATATTTGGTTTGTTGGTAGGTCTTGGCAAAACAAAGGTCTGGGCCAATTTTCAGCCTCCTGACAGCTTTCCTTGGCACTGAAGCAAATTTGAGATTTTTATTTATTTTTATTTTATTTTATTCACATGGATTTTTGAGCATTGGATAGGAAGCACTTGTGCTTATGTAAATCCGCTGCTCATAAAACATATACAAATGTAAACATGGATTTTTGAGCATTGGATAGGAAGCACTTGTTGTGCTTATGTAAATCCGCTGCTCATAAAACATATACAAATGTAAACATAAAGATGACATAAAGTATAGCATTAACATAAAATGAAAGTGGCTGGCGCACCTGGACATGGTACATACTATTGTATGTGAGTGCGTGTTTGCGTCTGAATTTCTGTGATTCAATGTAAAATTTTCAAAGTAGGAAAATAGATGCTCTAGTGGAGTCTCTGCTCTTCCTAGTTAAGTCATCTACAACAGAATCAAACCACCGTCATTAATTAATTGTTTGGTAAAAGAAATCATAACCTTCATCTCTAACTTCTTCCATGTCTGTAGATGCACCGAGTACTTCTCCCAGAGACTGAAGAAGGACAGAAGAGCCATCGTCGGTCCATCGCCTTCTTCGTACATCCCAACAAAGACACGCTGATCTCAAGTCTGGACGGGTCCAACAAGTACCCTCCGATCAAAGCTGGGGACTACCTGGACGAGAGACTAACATCTACATACGGGGGCAGCAAGTCTGAAGAAAAAACGGTCAATTGAGAAAGAAAGAAGCGAATTGAACTTGTGATTCAATGGTTGAATCAGTGTTCTTGCCAGCCTGAAAATTTTTTACGTCATCTCGATTTTGTGTGGCAGAATATTGTGTCGAGCGCAAAAGACGCTGCGATCCTGGGGAGGGGGGTCCGTGGGCATGTTCCATGAAAACTTGACCCTCTGAAACTCTGGCTATTCCTGCATTTTGAAGGGGCAAATTTTGCCGGTAGGCTAAGCGTAGTTTCATGACATCTCTTTCCATATCTTTACACACTAGGGCTGCGTACCTAAACGTAACATCAGGTACAGGTACAGGTACTGGTACAGAGGTTTAGGTACAGGTCCGGACCTGTACCTGTACCTGAACAATTTGACAAATTAACACGTGTTCTTCACTTTTTCAATCATGACACAGAAACAATAATAAAGTGTTGGAGGGAAGGGAAAATGACTGACCTCTGACCTGATTTGAGTTTGTTGACCAATCACAACCCTGGATCAGCCACACTCTCGCGATGTCTCGTGAGACTGAGGATCTCAAATCAATCGACGGTGTTTACGTCTTTTCCAGTGCTAATTTTTCGTCTTTGTGGTAGGATTTACCTATCTTTAGTCATATACATGGTATAAACTAGCTATTTCGGTATATACTCGTTACTTCATGATCCGGTATTTTGGACCTGTACCGAAACGATTTTTACGGTATTGGACCGGTACAGTGTACCGGTCCGCAGCCCTATTACACACTGTTGTTTGTCTGTCAAAGATGATGGATTGGGCAAAATTTTTTGACCGTCATGAGTGGCAAAATTCTGTCAAATGACGGAAGATGGAAGCTGCCTAAAACACTGGATTGAATTCAAGTATTCTATAGCCCCAATGCTACGAATGATACATTCAAGTATCCTGATTGGTTGAAATGTAAACCAATGATGAAATGTTGAATATATGACTGAAGACTTTAGTAACCTGTGATTTAATTTGAATTTATCGTTCTAGGGTCCTGATTGGTTAAAAATGTTAATCAATGGTGAGGTGTAGAAGGTAATGAGAAAATTGCTTAGCAAAATTATAAATGCTGCTGAAGCCTATTGTAAGGGCAAAGGATAGTTTCGAATTAAACCTGAGCTTCTAGCATTCTGATTGGCTGAATACACAATGTAGCAACCAATCACTGTAATATGATAGCACACAAGTGGAGCTGAGCTTTCTGATTGGTCAAGTACCAGCCAATCATGTAACACATGAATTTTTACCTCCTTATTATGTTGGTACTTTCCATGTTTCCATTTTGTGTAGGATGTTGGTGGATTGTTCATTGTATAGCCTTGTGTCTGCTTATTGTGTCATTACAGTACTATAAATACATGTATATAAAACAACAGATATGTGAGAGATTTCTCAATGATAACAGAAGCTTGTTGGTCTGTTCCAAGATGAAGTTTTTACACATTGTACCAAGATTTCTCCCATATATGGCACAACTCCTTCCACACATCTGATTAAAAATCTACATGGGTGGTGAGTCTGGGAGTGGGTCATTTCATAAAGTTTACCTTTGGGTGGGTATTTGGTTACTTCATTTACAGGTAGGACAAGTCTGAAGGTAACCTGGCATGCCCTGGGTGGTAGTAAGTGGGTAGTATCTGTATCTGTATAGCCGGTATAACCGCCTTTCGGCGTAACACACCAGCTTCGCAGGCACGCGGCGCGGCAGCAGTTGGCTATATTACACCGATCGACTTGTTACACCTAACCCTTGAACTTCTAGCTCTAGACATTGTTTAAAGCTATCTCTACCAGGCTTCGGGAGGCGGCTGGAAAAAGGTAGAAATCGGCCAAATAGAGAGATAGCATGCCAAGGGAGTTTGTCTGCTGGAGAGAACAGTTTGCCACTCCCGAAGCCTGGTAGATGCTACGTGGGTGGTACATGGAGGAATTCAGGAAGTCGTTGACTGTTAAACAAATGTACATGTACAATCCTCTCCACAGTTCCATAATGCATTAAGAAAGCCAAAAAAACACTACCAGGAAGTCTGAAATATCCGATTTCTTGTTTATTGTATTAGAGTTCACACAGTTATGTCTCACAGTGGTCGACAGCGTAACCAATGAGCTTGGCATAACTAAAGAAGCGAACAAGGTTCATAGGTTCTTCTTTAGATACCCCAGGTAGTTTTGCATTGCAGTACCTGCTGACTCATAAACATCGAACTGGTTAAGAAAGCCGTGGAAGCCATGTTTGTAATGATCATGACTGACCTTGGCGCCAGCCTTCTGGAGCCTCTTGGCGAACATCACGCCATCGTCCCTCAAAACGTCATACTCACACGTCATCACAAACGTCGATGGGAGACCTTTGAAGTCGGCATCGTCTGCCATCAACGGGGCAAAACGTGGGTCCAAAATGATCGCTACGTTCGGAATCTCGGGAAATTTGATGCTTCCCTTCTTTACGGATTTAACGACCACTTTGTGATCCACGTACCCGGCATACTGAGATTTCTTAAGCTGCTCACTCGTATGGTTGTTGGTTTTGAAAACCTCCTTAAAAGACAAGTCATTGCTAAGATACCACAGCCAAAACGATACCATTGAATCTTTAGTTAGAGTGTTGAGATGACCATGGTCGGTGTAGGAAGGTGTGTTAAAGTCTAGAGCCTGCAGAGCTGGGTAGAGGAGTGCCTGTGTCTTCAGCTTAGGAAGACCCTTTTCTTTAGTAAGTGCGAGAGTGACTGCTGCGGCGAGGTTCCCACCAGCACTGTCCCCACTGATGCCGATACGTGTGCGATCTACGTTGTACAGCTCCGCGTTTTGGAGGAAGAACTTTGTAGCGGCAACGCAGTCGTCAAACGCAGCCGGAAACAAATGTTCTGGGGCGAGTCTATATCTGTCAAATGATGGGAAATACGTTTATGTCATAGACTAAAGACAGGAAACAATAAATTAGAAATTGTGTTTCATACATTAATTGCGACCACATCCTTGAACCCAGGACATACCTGGTCAAAAAAATGCCAATCTCTGCCAACTCAGTTTATAGAACCGAAACATACAAACTTAGCATAAATTAACGCCACCCAAAAAACAATACTTCCGTCCCGGAAGTGATAACTTCCACTACCATGCACCTTACCAAAGTTTTGCCATTAGACGCACAAACTGGTGTCAGTGGTGGGATTCTGGCAAACCCACACCATCGAAAGAACTGGAGACTATGACATTAGCCAATTGCAAACTTTTCTCAAAATTCCACATGACATAACGTTAGTTTTACCATGGAGGTAGAAAAACGTGTCTTTTAACTCCATGGTTTTACACAGAGGGTATTAAAAAACGCTGAATACTTACTCCACGGACACAACAACAATCCCAAGCTGTTTAGCAATGTGGGCCGTTAGCGGATCATAGCCATCTGGAAACAACATGTGTGAAACAACATGTGTGAAAAATGTGTGAAAAAATATACCTAAGCTAGCCTGGGTATAGTCTAGTTGTTAGCTTTAGCCATAAACAGTTACTCAAGCAACTGGATATGATTTTGGAAACGTACACTCTGACGTTTCAGGTTAGCATCCACTACCATTCGTCAGTGACACTGGAGAGTTGTCAGAAAAGCAGGTTTATAGTAGTAAGTAATTGTCCTTGGTACAAACTATTGCGACAAAACCTTGATTTCGATCAGAGCAAGGATCAGAGCTTACCAACATTCAGAAGAACCCAGCCACCTCCATGGATGAACACCAGTCCCGGGACTTTGGTTCTACTCTTCGCCGCTGACTCAGGGGTGTAGACTCGGACTTTAACCCCGTTGAACGTGGCGTCCGAAATTTGCAGTCCCTCTCGGTAAGACGTGCCTTGTAACTTCAGACCAACGCCTATCAATGCGTTCACGATGGACCGGGTGTTACGAGGCTGCGTGCCTACGCCGACGTACTCTGCAAGTTTAGCCTTCACAAAAAAATGATACCAACGTCACGGAAATTTTACATGGTATCTTATGTCCTTAATTGATAATAAAAGAGTACAGTTCAAACATAAGTTTAAAGTACAAAGTACCATCATGGTCCGACACCTCATCAAGTACAACGAATGGTGAGGATAGCTTTTAAGAGCAGAAGGATATGGTAAAAGGCTTTATAATTCTAGAGTAAAAAAAGCTTAATTTATAACAATGCAGAACTGAAAATGCCTTAGGACCAGGGCTGTCTCCAGGACATGTGCAATACACTCTTTTTTTTCTTGTGAGGGGAGAATTTGACCCGATTTACGCAATATACTAGTACTGTACATTTACTTCTGAAGTTAATTACGTGAAGTAACTTTCAAATATGTTTTTGAAGACCCCAAAAGGGTCGGCAAGTTTTGCTAGGGTAGGTCGGGAAACCAGAAGCACTAGTTACGTAGTAGGCCTTACGTACCAGGTTCTTTGCTGTTTTGAACATCATGCCCACTACTTTAGCGAACAGTCTTGGTTCTGCGATGCCCTGTGGTACGGGCTCGTCACAGTAGTACGCCAGAAAAACCGCCACAGCCACAAACACCAGGGCCGCCTTCAACACTGCCATGTTTCTTCCGTGTCTGGGCAAAGTACAACAACAGAATCCACACGTACTCTTTCAGCCTCTACGTTGGAAAGATATGTATTTGCCTTAAAACTAGCCTAGATGCCAATATGTTGTCAGAGCCACTGTACACAAGCCAGCTCCTTAGCCTGTTGCTCGGCCTAACTTAGCGGGTAAATCTTCTGTGGTAAATTTCCTTGGGGACATGTTGGCCCTAAAGCCGAGAAGCTGGCTTGTACACTGACCCTGGCAACAGTATATATGACACATCATGCTATTGGAAAAACAATGCAGGTTTCATAGCGACGTCGACTCTTAAATCCGATATACCAGAAATTGTTACGTTTCTCGCTAATTTTCTTACTTTACTGACTTGCTCTAGACAGCTGAAATCCCTCCAATCTTGTTCACTCTTCAGGAGTTCTCAGACTCTGATCACCTGTTCTATGGACCTTTGGGCGGACACGCCCACTTTTGGGACAGGACCTTGAACGCATAGGTTACCTATGAATTTATTACCCATTTTTTGTTTATTTATAATGATTGTCAACAAATGAACAATTTAAGATGCAAATACACTGACAGCAAACATTCATGAAATGACATTCATATGTACTGATAATGATTTTTTTCAATCGTAGAGATCCTGGGTAAATTCTGGAAACGTTTTGAGAAAACTGATGCAGTGCACACTCAAGTCGCAAGAGGCGCTTTTGCACGGCTGCTGCAGCAAGGATTTGGGCTGAGTTGAGGAATTTTTGGGTATCGATATCGTTCGGATTGGGCCTTCGTGTGGGCTGGCAACCACCTGTTAAATGGACACAGGGTGTGTTGAGTTGTCATAGCTTTATTCTGACATGCAATGAGGTAACATTGACTTTAATATAGGCTAAAGCATGCAGCACCACATGTGTATGTGTTGGGAGAGGGGGGGGGGCATTTATTGTAAAGGACCATGCATCTACTACTATTACTGTCACAGTGAGAATACCGAAACATAAGAAGAATTTCTTCGATTGGGTCTTGAAGGGAGTAAACAGACATTCAGGAGACAGTGCATGCGTACTGAGTCTAGCTATACAAGGCAATGTTTTAACAATATGAACGTTTTGCTTATTAACCTTACATTTTCAGTGTTCTTAAACAAAGGGGGCGTGGTCGTAGCGTTTCTAGAGCGTCAGATTGGTGAAGAACACAAGAAGTTTTGGTGGACTTGGATGAGAAAAGTCAGCGAGGTAAGGGCCGTTCCCATGTTCTATCATTGCTCTATCTGAGATGTTTAATATCTGTACTGTACACCATATACTGTCCAAATACTACAACATATTTTTCGTACACTAGAAATCACCCATCTCATATTATTGTAATAGTAACATTTTAGTTATAAGTATAGTTAATGTTACTAGAATATTAGCATCATGCATCACCTCATGCATGTTGACGATGACTTAACATTACAACAACAACGACAACGAGTTATCTGAATGTCGAGATCTATCTAACAAACCTTGATCGATGTTATAAAGAAGAAGTGTGTATTTCTTCATGTTGCCCAGACAGAGCCATGGTAGTGAAGTCAGCCCTGGTGTTTGTAGTCGTGGCAGTTCTCCTGACGTATTACTGCAACGAGCCGGTCCCACCAGACATCGCACATCCAACACAGTTCGCTTCATTCGGGGTTGTCATGAGAACAGTATGGAACATGGTAAGGTCTGGTGATAAATACATTTACTTTGGTAAACACTTTTGATGGTAATAAGATATGCCAAGGACTTGTATATTGTCCTTGGATATGCCAAAAACAGTTACTCAAGCAACTTCAATATCTTCAAAGGTTCTGAGTTTGAATCCTTAGCAGGCCCCAGTGTTGTGCCCTTGGGATAGGCACTCTGCTTGTTGCTTGTCTGCATAATTTTTAAACTAAAATAAGAGAATTTGAATTAACATTATCATCATAGGCCGTATCTAAATATTTTTTTTCTTTCTGCTTTCCAGGCCATACTGGGAGAGTACCTCGGTATAGGGACTGAGCCACAGAATCTACGCTACATCCTCGGTTCACTGATAGGTGCTGCCCAGAGAGTAAAAGGGACATCTTACCGTGAGGGTCTGGACTGTAGAGATACCATGTTTAACAGGGTCAGAGTACGTGTGTACGAACCCGTGTCAGTGGCAAAGAGCGGAGCCAAAGTGCCAGGTCTGGTGTACATCCATGGAGGGGGCTGGATTATGCTGAGTGTTGGTAAGCCAATATGTTATTGGTTTGAACTTGACTGCCAGTTGTGTTAACTTTAAGTATACTCCCCACTGAGATCATGTAGATTTCTTGAAAAGATATAATATAAGTTTGTAATGTCACTCAGTATATAAACAGTAAAAGAAAACAAAACTAAATACATGTATATATAAATGCGCAATCAACTGCTTGTTAAAGTAAGTGAACTTTTAAATGATTGTTGTGATGAAAGTGTATTTTTTTTGTTCCAGTTCATTTAATAAACATTGTGTATCACTCAAATGAATCTCAATTTGTTCACAGATGTCTTTGATGAGCTGACGGCTCGTGTTGCCAAAGAGTTGGGGATTGTGGTTGTGTCTGTGGAGTGAGTACCTTACTGTATGAAGACCTTACTGTATTTTATCCACCATTGCATGCAACTGTCACAGTAGACAAAATTTTATCTTGTGGTAGAAAATAATATAAAACTATTAACATTCAATTTTGCAACCTTCACAGGTACCGACTTGCTCCAGAACATGTGTTTCCGGCTGCGTTTGACGACTGCGTTGCTGCTACAAAGTTCTTCCTCCAAAACGCGGAGCTGTACAACGTAGATCGCACACGTGTCGGCATCAGTGGGGACAGTTCTGGCGGTAACCTCGCCGCAGCAGTCACTCTCGCACTCGCTAAAGAAAAGGGTCTCCCAAAGTTAAAGACACAGGCACTCATCTACCCAGCTCTGCAGGCTCTAGACTTTAACACACCTTCCTACATCGACCATGGTCATCTTAACACTCTGAGTAAAGAAAAGATGATATCATATTGGCTGTGGTATCTAAACAATGACTCATCCTTTAAAGAAGTGTTCGGAGCCAACAACCACACAAGTGAGCAGCTAAAGAAATCTCAGTATGCCGGGTACGTGGATCACAAAATGGTACGACCCAACCTGCGGCCAAAGGTCGTTACACCCGTAAAGAAAGAAAGTATAAAATTTCCCGAGATTCCGAACATAGCGACAATTCTGGACCCACGTTTTGCCCCGTTGATGGCAGATGACGATGATCTGAAAGATCTCCCACCAACGTTTGTGATGACGTGTGAGTACGATGTTTTGAGGGATGATGGAGTGATGTACGCCACCAGACTTCGGAAGGCCGGGGTAAGGGTGGAACACGATCATTATGAACGGGCCTTTCACGGCTTTTTACCTCAGAATGATGTGAATGAGGTAGCAGAAACAGCTGTGCAGAACTACATCTCATATCTGAAGAAGAACCTTTGAAGTTGAAAACTTTCTGTCAAACCAACCCAGCGAAAAAAGTAGCCAAGTTTTGAGTTATATACATCAACGTTTAACGTTACATACATGTACATTATTTGTACTCTCCAAGAGGGTTTGAGTTTCTGCTTATTTTTGACATGTTTTTAATAATTTCTATCAGGCTTTTCCCCACTCAGGTGCCATATGGGATACTCTCTTGCCAATTTGCTACAGTCTTGCAGCTACCAAAAGATTTGCTTGGAGATTACACTACACACACGCACTAGTTATGAAATGAGGGATAAAGATTTGCAGTAAACCTACTATGTAAACCAATTCCTGTATGTGCATGTGTCAATTTATATATATATATATAAATATGTATATAGATTATAGATTTATCATGCAGCTAACCAATATACACAAATGGTATTATGATGCTGGTTTTGTCTTGGTTTCATTTAGAGTACAAAAGTTGTACAATAAGTCAAGAGACCTTTGGTATTATATCTTGCCTGATGTAGTAGCAAGATATGAAATGACAATTTATAATGTGTATTACACTGTGTACCAAGTGTCTTGTGCCAGAATGAAAATGTTGATTATTATGTGATATTAAACTTTATTAAAGTTGTCATCAATATAAAGGAGACAAACTTACACGAATCTTTCTACTTCTTAATTATGACATGATCATTTAATATTTAAAAGGTCTAATAGTCGCAAGTCGCGAAGCAAAATTGTTGAGAATGCCTCACAAATATAAAAGTTGATTTCTTGCACCTCCAAAAATCCTACGAGCGCTCCTGCCGACTCTTGTGGGAACTGCAGCCCATCCTCCCAGGTATGGAGCATGCTCAGTCCACGCCCAATTTGGAGTTGTCGAATTTCAAGATGGCGTGATGTTGGTGCCCTTCTGTGGAGCCACTTCGTGTACAACTCTCATGTTGGCTCGCCAAGGGTCGCCTGTGGCTGCAGATTGCGTTTGTTCGATAGTTGAAAGGCTGAATTCCTTCCTGTAGGTTTTCGTGCGTCGCTGCTTTTTGTGGTGTCATCAAAAAAGCCAGCTGGGTCAGAGTGCACTCAACCAGAGCGGAGCTCCCCGCTGCTACTTGGATATTCGCGAAACGACGCCGGGACATCGACTGGTCTGAAATTCTCCGAAAATCTTGCCAAGACAGCGGCTTTCTCGGCCAGACTGGATTACTCGCGCCGGAAGAAGGGTTGATTGTTTGTTTGTTTTTTGCTGAGACGCGGAAAAAACACCACCCCTCCCCAAGATGGCGGACGACGAAGTTTTGTTCGAAGACGTGTACGAACTGTGTGAGATCATCGGAAGGTGAGTGGCGATTTTTCCTTCTTGTTTACTCAAGACTGAAGACGAGTTCCTCAAGTCCCACACCCATATCTTGTAGACACCTTAACGTTGCCCTATCCCTCGTATATTGAAACCTCTGCAAAATAATACCTTTCCGACATACTACATGGAAGTCCAAACCCCAATTTACTTCCGACATGAATTTGGTACGAAAAACATAACTTACATCATATTTCAAGATAACATTGCGAGTTTATTCGGTTTAGAAATGGTTTGTCAAATTATTAAATAGAGTAAAATAGTGGCATAGAAAGAACCGTGTAGATGATACGAAGCCGTACACGTAACTTGACGAAATTATGTTTTTGAAATTGAAACTGACGTCGTGTTTATGAAACTGACACAACATCAGAAAATCCTGCGTTTGTTTTGTTGGGAGGGCGTGAGGGACATAACCCAGGGGACCGATCATTAATCACCACGGGAGGGTGCAGTGCGTGATCCAACACAACAGGAATCCTACTGGTTCTACCTGCTAGCCCGGCCTCCCTCCACCCGCCATGAATAATGGAAACTCTGTCGCTTCATTTGTGTGAAAATGGCCAATTTCTTGGTAATCAGTGCAGAGACAGACCTGTGATGGTGGATGTGGTGTCTTCATCCTTACTGCCTCTGTGGTGGCCTGCAAATTGTTTTCTCACCTACTATTAGTATTAGAAAGAGGTGCTCTTATTTAATTTCCCACCAAGCTAGCAGTAGGGAAAACGCTGATGTCAGTGAGGTGTGGGGAGGTCTATAAAGATAATATTCTCTTCTCGCAAAACCACATCTGGACAGACAAGGTTGCACACAGGTGCCATAAATTTTCCTCCAGATAAACAGCAAGATTCCTGCTACCTGTTTTTTCTACTATGTACCTAAAGTAAAAGAAACATCGTTAAATCACACAGTCTTTTACAGCTGTGGAGAAGAACGTTGGTGTTGTTCGTTCGTAGTTCCTCTGCGTTTGGAGCGCGAGCCTTGGGGGATATGGTGGTAGAGTGAGAGATTACGGGGCATTGGGTCTGTGATTGGTCAGCTTATGAAACCTTGGATTAGTGCCAGGGAGGATGCTGAGGTGACAGGAGGGTGAAGACAAATCACTTCTTTATTTCTTTATTTGAATTTACCACATGCAAAAACAAGTGGAAGGGAGGACAAAACAGGTGTATCAACGCCTTTACAAGTTGTCCTCCCAAACCTGAAATGATGATACAAAACAATACGGAACCAAGTCAAACAATAAACATTAGACATAAGACATCAAAAATCAGTAGGCATGAAATATACAATTTGGTAAAAGTTATACACAGAATTGATTATGTACAAAAATTATCAAATGTCATTATGTACAGATTAAAAAACTAATTATGATACTAATGCGGCCTTAAAGCAGTGCATGAGGCACACCCACAAGATGATACTTCATATCTGAAGGATCGGTTATCAGGGATTAGCAGCGATTTTCCTGGACTTTTCAGGGTGGAAACTCTGTTTGTTTTGAACATTTTTTTTTCAGATCAAGGATCAGGGTTTACCTATCCTTGGCATGGCAACAAACCCCCCTTGGGAGGTTGATTGTTATGTGTGATCTCTCGGGATATGAGGGTTAAGCTTGTGTGTTTTTACTATGATTACTGGGTGCTTTTCCGACTTTACAACCTTTTCTTCCTTTGTTGAAACCCAAACAAACTGGATGAAATTTTAGAACCTCTGATGTTTTTGAGTCTCAGTATTTTCTGTTTGCATTACATGTGCTTTAAAAACGTCTAAAAGACTTGATATTTCTTTTTCTGGAAAGAAAAATCTAATTTTGATTGCACATATAAGTAGCATGTCATTTGAATTTGAAACTGTTTTTGGTCACACAAGCTCAGTCAAAGCTGCCCAAGAGGACCACTCAGGGGACTGATAAAATCTGGTCTATGTGGACAGGTGGTCATTGTAGATAGCTTTTAATGCTTGTGTCAATGGGAAAAATCATCTAAGGGACCACCAAAAAGTAGACAAATTGGCCATGCGGCCTTTATGTAGAGGTGATCACTTGTACACTACAGGTTTGACTGTACGTCTTTTAGTTTTTTGTCAGGAACTGTAGATGCCAAGATTGTTTTTTGACAGGTGGTTGAAATGTAGCTTGAATTTTTTTCTTTTCTTAGACTAGAGACTTTTCTATGTGTGTCTTTGAACTCAAATTAAGTACCTAATACATCTGTTGTCGAATTGGACAATACAAAACAATGGCCCCATATGGCCAAAAAGAAGAATTACTAGAAGGTTTACTTGTTTGTATACTGCAGTATATAAAAGAGAAGGCATTGTCACAGACAACAAAGAAGTGATTAAAGGGATTAAATGCAAATCTAAGCCCTGGAGACAATAGACAATATGTATATGTAAGTGATTTTATCTTACCATAATGCATTGTTTTAGAGGAGATGTCGCTATGGAAATTTAAGAACCATATGTAACATATTGGACTCAGTATTTACTCTATTTTGTCTTCATAATTATGATTGAAGACAATATAGAGACCAGTTACTAATTCTGCTAATTCAACAGTTTTGTGCTAAAAAAGACAGTTGGCTACATGTACAACTCACTGATGATTGGCCAAACCTGTACCTAAACCTCCGTACCTGTTTCTAAACCACTGTACCTGAATCAAAATCCCTGTACCTGTATCTAAACCTCTGTACCTGTATCAAAATCCCTGTACCCAATATCTAAACCTCTGTACCTGTATCAAAACCTCTCTTAGTCTACCTGTATCTAAACCTTTGTATCTGTATCTAAACCCCTATACCTGCATCTAAACCTCTGTACCTGCACAGTACCTAACCCCTGTACCTGTACCTAAACCTCTGTACCTGTATCTAAACCTCTGGTATGGTACCTGTACCTAAAATCTGTCACAGTTCACAGCCCCTGAGCCAAGTGCTTATTAACAGTATGACAAGGCGGACTGGCTGGTGTTGTCTCCCACTGGGATCACACAAGGCCTCATTTGGAGTCCCCATAGGTTAAGGGTCAAGTAATTACCCGGGAATGAGTCTGTTCTCTAGTCCGGGGTAGTGTGGGGGCGGGACATGATGACTTATTGGTGATTAGTTGCCATATGGGACTAATGACTGGTTCCATGAGGGAAAGAAGTGGAAAATTTGAGTTGGGGTTTACGAAAAATGTAGATTGTTAGAATGGTTTGGAATAGGTATAATTCTCAGTGGGTGTAATTTCTATGTTACCCAAAGGCAAAAGTATTACATGCAGCTGATTACATGTAGTATCTTTTAACATTGTCCCAATAGCACTGACTTCTTGTATGTTACTAACTTAGTTCAAATATGTTGTATTACCATTACCAAATCATGCACATATTTTACAACATTTATGGTAACATAATACTCAACAACATTGGCTTCTTTTGTTACCAATTTTCATATCCTTGATTAGCTGTATTGTAAAATGATAAAATTTGATAACCCTATCATGTCATTCTTTAATGTATAAAGACAATCGGCATTGGATTTATATTTAATTTGTTTCTGTTTAAAACTTTTATTCATCTCAGTAGCATTTTAGTTTTACTGCTTTACATGTATAGTGGGGCCCTGGAAAACATACATTACGAATGACATCTAGACCTACAATAAATATAACAACTCATAATATACAACTGTACTTCCTACTCTGATATTGATAGACCTGAACAGCTGTCCAAATCTGTTTCTATGATATTTGCCCTCTGACCCGTTCATATCCAATATGAACGTCCAGACCACAATTCATCAATATCTCATAATCTATAAGAAGGTCGATAGCTCACCCATATTTCTCACTAGGCTGTTTGAGCGTAGGGGCCCCCTACGCTGTGATTTGGACCCCCTACGCTGTGATTTAGCCCCCTACACTGTGTTTCAACCAGCGTACTGAGCGTAGGGGTGGTTTTTGGGGGCAGAAGCTTCATTAATCTTTAAAAAAATGAAAATATAACTAAAGAATGAAGCTATAACAGAGGGAAAACAAAATCTGTCCCCCAATAAACAATAAATAGTGTCTTAAGTGGTTAATATGAGTTACAAAATTTTTTTGGGAGAATATCAGGCCCATGTTTTGGGGACTCGGTGCGTGACTCGCGCCACAGAAAGTTGCCCTTCTATACCTGACCCCTACGCTGTGAAAAAATCCTGGTGAGAACCCTGTCACCCATATTTTTCAGACAGGGATTGTGATGCAGAGATTTTTGATGATTCAGAGACTGAGTATTCCCAGTAGTATTGTAAAAGTCTTGCGTTTGAGACAGAAGAATTAGAGTCGTAGCCCAATGACTAATCTGAAATGGCGCCGTTTGTAACATTTTTTAGGGAGGGGCAAATCTTTGTGTCAAAATCACAAGGATATTTTGGATCCTTTGGAAAGTTTGGCACAGAAAATAGTCATGAATTTGCTATAGAATCTATTAATTTAATAAGGAATTCAAGCACTGTGATTTTGCATAGAAACAAGAGATAGATCTACAGAGTAGACATTTTTTACATATTTACAGTACTGTGTGTTACCTTGCAATTAGCCTTCGGGCATGAGCTTGCAAATAAATAAATCATGACAAATTTATTAGACAATCTAAGCCAAAATCTTTGTAGATGCATGAATAACGATACCAAAAATGGTGCAAAATTACAATTTTGCTTCCAAATTCTTCTCGAAGTGCGAAGAATTGCTGATGATTCATCTGTGAATGCATGCTGACCTGAATGGTTACACAGGTGAATCTGGTGCTATGTTCGGTGTGGGGGTTAGCAGGTCAGGGGCTGTGGAATGCTGGGAATGGCATGGATGAAATGCCGACCGACGCCCCACTGCGGTAAGTCCTGCCGGGAGACACGCCCCTCGGGAAGTCACAGCAAGGTCCCAAAATTCCCAACCACATCCCAAATATTCCAACACCAGATTCCAAATATTCCTAGACACTACTCTGAGTA